CTACAATCTTTGGCACTATCCGTCGCGGAGTAGAGTCCGCGGCGGAGCCGCCGGACTCCGAGCGGACTCCGAACGGACTCCGAGCGGACTCCGGCGGAGCCGCCGGACTCCGAGCGGACTCCGGCGGTGCTCCGCCAAAATGTATTTACACTGGAATCGAGTACATTTTGGCGGACTCCGAGCGGAGCCGAGCGGACTCCGAGCGGACTTTAAAGTCCGCCGCGGACTCCGAGCGGCTCCGCGGCGGCTCGGCGGAGTGTCCGCCGCGGACTAAGCCACTAGGCGGACTCCGGTCCGCCGCGGAGTCCGGCGGAGTGCTTGGCGGACTCCGCCGGACCTCTCCGCCAGACTTGAATCCGGCGGAGTCCGGCGGAGCTTGGCGGAGTCCGCCAGCTCGGCGGACTCCGCTCGGAGTCCGCCGGACTCGAACAGAGTCCACTGACTTCCGACCTCCGACTTCCGACCCTCGGCTAAATTTGTCACGTGACATACAACATAGCATTTTGCAATATTGTGGTCAGATGAAAAGGTCGCTAGTGATAAACCTTAACCATTACCCATGATTTTTAGTCCCCATTAGTCTCCATTGGTAGTCATTGGCCCCCCCCCTCTGTGCTTCAAAGCATGAAGTGCCTTTGGCAAGTGCTCAACTTTCTCAGACGTCTGCCTCTGATAAGTGCGTCAAATTATCTTTTGGTGCATCAAAAATTAGTGCCTCAGACGATTGCATCAGATACATTGGTTTTTGATGTAGTGCCTCAAGGGCCCCAAACAAGTGCCCCAAACGAGTGCCCCAGTCTTGATCTTGATATGATTCAATTTTTAAAAATTTCTCAGTTATTAAGTCAATAATTGCCACATGTTATGTGTCCCTCACTGCGCGCGCAGTGAGGTATATCTGATATCAGCTCATAAACTTTATTGTTTATGATAACTAAATTATATTATCAAACTACGCCAAGTTGGTACGGTGGAGTTTAGTTTATACTAGACTCTAGTGGGCGTTATAAAAGAAACCTTACAGTTACTTAGCCAGCTAATCTCAAGGTCGTTTCGCTCACCAGAGGCGCGGCAAAATTCACCGAGCATTAAGGAACGCGCGCTGGGTAAGAAGTAGGTAGTGCGCCATCGACAGTGAGCCGCGCGTGCCGACTGAAGGATGGTTTTTTAGCGCTAATTTCGGCCAGCACAATTTTCTTCAAACAAATAGATATAGAGTATCCTTCCCGACCTCCAATTGCAACAAAAATTGGTAAGCTTACTCATAAACTTACAAGGAAAGTGTCCGAAAAATTTAAAGCATATCCAACCATCAAACATTATGTTACAGCTAAAAGCAGCGTATTTTGCCCCATTTTTATTACTATATCAACTCCGATATCCACCAAATTTTTCGGACAGTTGTGAAAGCCCAATTGGAAGGTCGTCGCCAATTTCCAGAATGATCTCATTTAAGGAACTGAAGATAAATCCGAATAATACGACAAAAATGGTCAAATTTGGACGAATTTGGTCAAATTACGCGATCGCGACTTTTACAGCTACTTTTGCTCCAAAAGCCGCGCACCATAAAATATGGCACTTAGGCGAAACTCACTGATCTTTCCAAAAAGGTATAACAAATTTGGTATTGTGAAAATTCTCACAGTCTCTAGAAAACAGTGGTACAAAATTTTTTTAAATCCAAGCAACTTTATTTTTATCGTGCACCCCCTATAAGAAGAAACCTAGCCAGAGTGGAAGTCGGCGCCCTCATTAAATTTTTGGAGAAAATCGCTCGCGCTCGCCAAAATTTGTTGGACCAGGACGATGTCCTAGCCTGGCAGCTCATTGCGCGTCGCAACGAGCTTCGTTGTTCGTCGACGTGCGACGAGCAACGAGAAAAATTGCGTGGCGCGTCGGGTGGCACATCTTAACGGGTGACACGCGTATAAATTTCGATCGCTGACGTACAGCGAACATCACAGCTGCGAGTGGCGTCAGCTAATAGGATTTCATCCTACAATGCAAGGCACATCGCGTTCATCTAGCTAACCAGGTGCTTTCGCGCCGCTGCGGGCGCGCTTGTTCCACAAGTCATTTCCGGCGGTCGCACGCTACTGCAAGCGAGAGGGCTATACTTAGAGCAACACATCGCGCCACAAGCCAAATATTTATCAACATCTTGACTAGCTACGCGGTCCTTTTCCGCATGCGCTCGCGCTGTGCTCAAAAATTGACGTCGTCAATCAATCAACATCAAGATTTTAGTTTTACATATGACCTTTATGTCAAAAAATCTTTGAATTTTCAATCGGTGGTCGATGTTACCTGAGGATTACTGGGCCGCGCTCAGCCTGTCATTCCGCCAAGAAGAACATAATACTAATAGCCTGGGGTCCCCAGGTAACCTGAGGACCTCAGGCTTCGTCCTTACTTCGTCACAGGACGATCGGAGCTCGAAGAGCGTAGAGAGTGCTGGCTGGCGTCGTCCTGTGATGGTCGACGTATTTTTGCTTGCTGGGATCCGGCCGAATGACGCCACATGCGACGTGTAGGGTAAAACTAAAAACGCTTCCCTATATGAGATAATATGACAAAAATTGTTTTGGTCACGTGACCAGTCAATGACATTGATATTTCGCTGCGGACGGTTTGGTGGAGGGTTAGGGTCAACGTTTATACATTATAGGGTCAAAGTTAGGACTAGAGTTGTACACTATTGACATTGTGAGGGTAATGGTTAAGGTTTATCACTAGCGACCTTTTCATCTGACCACAATATTGCAAAATGCTATGTTGTATGTCACGTGACAAATTTAGCCGAGGGTCGGAAGTCGGAGGTCGGAAGTCAGTGGACTCTGTTGGAGTCCGGCGGACTCCGAGCGGAGTCCGCCGAGCTGGCGGACTCCGCCAAGCTCCGCCGGACTCCGCCGGATTCAAGTCTGGCGGAGAGGTCCGGCGGAGTCCGCCAAGCACTCCGCCGGAGTCCGCGGCGGACCGGAGTCCGCCTAGTGGCTTAGTCCGCGACGGACACTCCGCCGAGCCGCCGCGGAGCCGCTCGGAGTCCGCGGCGGACTTTAAAGTCCGCTCGGAGTCCGCTCGGCTCCGCTCGGAGTCCGCTCGGCTCCGCTCGGAGTCCGCCAAAATGTACTCGAGTCCAGTGTAAATACATTTTGGCGGAGCACCGCCGGAGTCCACTCGGAGTCCGGCGGCTCCGCCGGAGTCCGCTCGGAGTCCGGCGGCTCCGCCGCGGACTCTACTCCGCGACGGATAGTGCCCAATCTTTCTACGAACAGTTTTACTCTGTAAATCAAGTAACTTAAAAGATAAAACTGGGGTTCGGTTAGGATGTAGAGATGCGTAGTGCTGTCCAACCCCATTCTCTGGATGTGCTCTAGGATTCCTAGCAGCCTGTCTGTGCTCCATCAGACGAGCATGGAGGCTTCTCTCAGTTTCCCCACAGTATCTCTTACCACATAACTCGCAAGTAACTAAGTAAATAGCTCCTTTTGTTGAGCATGTTGTTCCTGTGAGTCTAGGGCAGATCTCACAATTGTTAGGGTTACCAAGGTCACAAGTCTTCTTATCCAGTGGACGAGAGCGGCAGAAGATGTCCTGTAACTTCTTACCAGGTGTAAAAATAACTCTGATGGGGAGTTTGTTAGATTTGATGTAGTTGCGAATCGATGAGGAAGGAAAAGTGCACCACAGATTCTACAGGAAAACCCAGAACAAGGGGATAACATTACACCAGAAGTCACACCACCCGGACTCAGTGAAGGAGGAGTGTAAGAAGAACTTCTACCGTAATGCCACCATTGCTTCCTCAGGACCCCAGGAACTCGATCATTCAGTTAAGATCATCGATGATCTCTTAAAGAAAAATGGACACCAACCTCTGAGTCATAACGCAAGGAACAGGAGGACTAGGAGAAGACGTCAAACCACACCTGACTCTGTCCCACTCACCTTACCATTCATCTCTGGAACAGTTTGTAATAAGATTCGCAACTACATCAAATCTAACAAACTCCCCATCAGAGTTATTTTTACACCTGGTAAGAAGTTACAGGACATCTTCTGCCGCTCTCGTCCACTGGATAAGAAGACTTGTGACCTTGGTAACCCTAACAATTGTGAGATCTGCCCTAGACTCACAGGAACAACATGCTCAACAAAAGGAGCTATTTACTTAGTTACTTGCGAGTTATGTGGTAAGAGATACTGTGGGGAAATTGAGAGAAGCCTCCATGCTCGTCTGATGGAGCACAGACAGGCTGCTAGGAATCCTAGAGCACATCCAGAGAATGGGGTTGGACAGCACTAGGCATCTCTACATCCTAACCGAACCCCAGTTTTATCTTTTAAGTTACTTGATTTACAGAGTAAAACTGTTCGTAGAAAGATTGTAGAAGCGATGTATATATTGAGATTAAGTCCTGAAATGAATGATCGTTCTGAGTTGAGTTATTTGTACAAATATTTAGTCGATGTTTAACTAGTAAATAATGTATTGATAGGACTATCTTGGATAGTAACCATGACAACCGAGTTATCGTTGCTTAAGTGCTGATTTTATCATTAGTTTTTACACATGAACTGTGAATTCTGAACAACCAGTTTTACGTTTACTAATTAGTTTAGTATCATGAGTAGTACAGTATTTAGTTGTATTAGCTTACATTTCTTCTTGTCGTATTTTTTGTTGTTTTGACATTTTTTGCAATTACATTTTTTGGGTCATATTTCGTAAATTTTATTTCTCTGTTTTTGTTTTAATGTTATTTTAAATTTCTTTCCGTCGTTAATTTTTACACATGTTTAACAATTTTATTACAGAACTGAAGAAGACGTTGTTACGTGGAATGATTATTTCAATTCAATAAAGTTACTAGCCTAAAGTTTGCTGCTTCAATTTGTTCGCAAGTTAAGAGTCTAAAGAGAAATTCTCCAAGAGAAATCAAGTTCAAATGCGACTCATAAATATAGCCCCCTTGAACTATTATTTTCAGTAACACTATATTTCTGGTGCGTCACCTCGGATACGTGGACATAGCAATCCTGCTACTTGGTTTCTTTCCAGCTAACTTCATCTTTGTTGAACAACTCAATGAGAAACCGGGACCATTCTCCGTTATATGCACGGTAGGTATTGGGAAATATTTTTTAGATTGAGGTAGAAATAAAAAGTCAAAGTTCTAGAATAAAAGGTTCTCTACTGATAAGGTGGTGACTGGTAAGATTATTTGTCCGATTCAGAACTACAAACTTACTTGCGGTTACTAACGGTTACTATGGTTACTAACGGTTACTAATGGTCACTAACAGTTCTCTTTCAGTTTCAGGGGATTTGTATGAATGTGTTCGGACTTACAGCCTTGTCAATAACCGCCCTAATATCTGTTCACAGACTACTACGCTGTACTCTACCGCAGGTATATGTTTCCGTCTATCTATTACCAAACACAATGATACTTCTAATCTGCTTCACAAGTACAATAGTCAATAATAAGTAAAATTGAAAAGTTAGTACAACGCAAAATTAAATGTAAGTAACTAATTAACTTACTTTATCTGACGTTATTTGACCGGACATTGCGTGAGCAGACATAATTTTGAACGGACATTATAGGGAACGTTCGAAGGGATTCAAAACCTTTAAAAGACCGAAAAGTTTTCACCTTATTGGACAATAAGTTCGTAGTGGAATACTTTTGGGAAAAAAATTGAACAGACTTTGATTTGAACGAACCGTAATCTCGTAATATAAACGGAAGACTTTATTTGGACGGACACTAAAATGAACGCTAGAGCCTCCATGAGCGTCCAGTTAATGTCTGTTCAAATAAGGTCCGGCAAGGTAATAATATTAATGCTAAGGCTGTAGTGTTCATATTACAGATAGAAAATAGACTATAGGCTAATAGGTAAGCTATATTTAACACAAATGGAGAAACTACAACTCAAATTCGCAATCCAGCCAAGAACTGTTCGCATCAATTAACAAATGGATTCTATTGAAACATCAGACTATAAACATAAATGAATGTTAAATTTACAGTCAAATTGAAATGAAACACACGTCATGGTTTAAGTGGACAGGTTTAAGGAAACCACCACCACCTGCGTTCCTTTGTACAACTTGTGAACTATGAAGCAATAAAACTGCGACAAAGGCTTTGTTGTGACGAAATCAAGTACCAGTTGAGAGTTTTCTATCATAACACAACTTAACAACTCTTGTGCAAAAATAAGTAAAATAGTGCAACAACAAGTAAACTAGTGCAACAAGTAAACTAGTGCAACAAGTAAACTAGTGCAACCAGTAAACTAGTGCAACCAGTAAACTAGTGCAACAACTAGTAAACTAGTGCAACAACAATTAAACTAGTGCAATATCAAGTAAACTAGTGCAACAACAAGTAAACTAGTGCAACCAGTAAACTAGTGCAATAACAAGTAATCTAGTGCAATAACAATTAAACTAGTGCAATATCAAGTAAACTAGTGCAACCAGTAAACTAGTGCAATAACAAGTAAATTAGTGCAATAACAAGTACACTACTGCAATAACAAGTAAACTAAAAAACAGGTAAACTAAAAAGTCGTAAATAAAAACAGCAAAACCCTAAATTACTGTAAACACTAATTTACCTTCCCCCAAATTAAAAAAAATGCTTTTCTTTAGGTTCTTTTATCGCGTGATTCTATAAATATGGCTTATGTCAAGCGAGGTTTCAGGCTCATTACTAATTAAAACAAGTATTGTGCAAAGATGTGATCCGACTGAAACTCCAAAACCAAAACTCAGATTTACCGTACTATTTCCCCACTCTAACCTCTGTCTTATCTTCTTATCTTAGACTTATCTTCAGGCAATAGCACGAGTAACAAGAAACAGTATGCTGATATTCGTGCTGGGCTGCTATTTAGCCGCCATATCCATAGCCGTCCTGGTCATGATCATCCCGCCAAAACTAACCTACAGATACGACAACGGCTACTATTCCTGCATCGGACATTACGGTATCAAGGACAGGTGCATCTTTTATAGGATCTGTCCATTAGTGGGGGGGGGGGGGGGGGGGGGGGGGGGGGGGTGACAGCGTGACACGTTTATCACCGCGAGGGGCCCATGTCCATTAGTCCATGTTTTGTGTCATTATTATTGGCAGGCTTATCATTGATCAGCTCTCCAAGTACTAGTCTGACCCTTCGCGCCATGATTCTCGATGTGACACAGCAACTCTGTAAGATGACCCCCAATATTCCCAGAGAGAACAACATGGGAGGTATAGCCCGAGCAGTGGGGATGACACTGGGAGCCCTCTTCTTCCTCGTCATTATCCTGATAAACGTCCTCCTTCATCATTACTCGAGAAAGAAGCTGGCTCATCTATCTGGCAGTAAGTATCAGTTATACAACTGCTCTGACGTTAATAGTTTTACAAAGAGAAAACTTAACCGTTTTATTTTTGACGAGTCAATGATTACCGCTATTTCTATTTACAAAGTTGAATCTGCCCTAAATATCCCCTCCCCCCCCCCCCCCCCCCCCCCCCCCCCCCCCCATTATTGATATCCTGATAATCCCTGCAGACTCGGTGAAGAAGCACAAGACCTCCAGATACAGGACACTAACTACCCACTCCATCTCAGCACTCCTCATAGTCACGTGGTTACCCTTCGCTATCACATTCTTCATCACTATCTCCCTGGAGTCACGTGACCCGGGATTGTCAGCGGAGTGTCAGACCCCTTCTGTCAGACACATCTCCACCTTTGCTATTAACTTCTACCTGCTAAACTTCGTGCTCAACCCACTCCTTTACAGCGTGACTAACATTAATTTTATGAAGTTCGTTATCAAGCTGATAAAGAAGCACTTTAGTAAAATGTTGTGTGTAGCCCAGTTGTGCACTAAACTGAACCCCGACCTGGATATCTCCACCAACGTGTCCACAATGGACCAGGCTGGTGGGGCGTCCAGTAACAACTGTCCTGCTCCGGAAAGGGTTTACTCTAACATGCTGACTGTCCCTGCTCAGTCCTCTACCAAGAAGAAGCTGTCTCCCGCTAAATCCGCTAATAAATATGTAAAGAAGGAGAGTGGTGGAAAGAAGGTGGTGGGGAGTAAGACTGATGAGATCAGGAGTAACAAAAGTGACTTTTCAGAAATCATTCAAATGTCACCAGTCAATAATTCATCGCTTGACAGTAGGAAGAGTAAAAAGAAAAAAGACATCGCAAAGAAAAACACAGATAATAAGAAAGCTGCAGTGTAATACAACTTTAAAGTCCTTGTAGTGAAAATTATCAATTACGACAGCCTGTGAAACAAGAGCTGTAAAACTATAACCAGACAGTTGTGTGGAAGTGACATTCTGGGGTAACTATTGTAAATCTAGTTTCAGCGTGTAGATCAGACTTGTTGAGCATGACATTGGATACCTGTTCTGCACTAAATACCAAGCCGGTAAATGGTAATACTATAATTCAGAGGAAACTATATCCTCACCAGATCCCTCACCAGATCCCTCACCAGATCTGAGATCCCTCACCAGATCCCTCACCAGATTCCTCACCAGATCTGAAATCCCTCACCAGATCCCTCACCAGATCCCTCACCAGATCCCTCACCAGATCCCTCACCAGATCCCTCACCAGATCCCTCACCAGATCCCTCACCAGATCCCTCACCAGATCCCTCACCAGATCCCTCACCAGATCCCTCACCAGATCCCTCACCAGGTCCCTCACCAGATCTCTCACCAGACCCCTCATTTCGCAACCAATTCCTAACCAGATCTTAACAAAATTTTGGTTCGACCATATTCCAATAAATTGACTGTGAGTAGGAAAAGTTCCGGCGATATTAAGGATAACTCATGTTATGGACGATGAGAATACGAATAAAAAATGCTTCAATTTTTGTTAAATTTTATTTATACATTTATTATCATAAATTGAGATTTATAAAATATTTTAAATTGTTGATATTCGTTCATAAAAAACTTCAATACAAATCTTAAATCTACCAAGGGTGAAGAAGGTTAATCTCTTGGAGAAAATATAATAAAGAAACTCAACGTTATTATGTGTGGAGTTGACATGGTAGTTCACCAGTAGTACACCAGTACACGACTAGTCCGTCTAGGTGCAAATCCCAGAATGCGACAATAATCGGCTGCTAACAGCTAAACTGGTAATAGAGATCCCTCACCAGATCCCTCACCAGACCCCTCACCAGATCCCTCGCCAGATCCCTCACCAGATCCCTCACCAGATCCCTCACCAGATCCCTCACCAGATCCCTCACCAGATCCATCACCAGATCCCTCACCAGATCCCTCACCAGATCCCTCACCAGATCCCTCACCAGATCCCTCACCAGATCCCTCACCAGATCCCTCACCAGATCCCTCACCAGATCCCTCACCAGATCCCTCACCAGATCCCTCACCAGATCCCTCGCCAGATCCCTCACCAGATCCCTCACCAGATCCCTCACCAGGTCCCTCACCAAATCTATCACCAGACCCCTCATTTCGCAACCAATTTCTAACCAGATCTTAACAAAATTTTGGTTCGACCATATTCCAATAAATTGACTGTGAGTAGGAAAAGTTCCGGCGATATTAAGGATAACTTATGTTATGGACAATGAGAATACGAATAAAAAATGCTTCAATTTTTGTTAAATTTTATTTATACATTTATTATCATAAATTGAGATTTATAAAATATTTTAAATTGTTGATATTCGTTCATAAAAAACTTCAATACAAATCTTAAATCTACCAAGGGTGAAGAAGGTTAATCTCTTGGAGAAAATATAATAAAGAAACTCAACGTTATTATGTGTGGAGTTGACATGGTAGTTCACCAGTAGTACACCAGTACACGACTAGTCCGTCTAGGTGCAAATCCCAGTATGCGACAATAATCGGCTGCTAACAGCTAAACTGGTAATAACGGCCCACAACTCGACAATAAACAAATCGACAATAAACATGTACAACACAACTAGAAATAATATCTGAGAATAATAAGCTGCCAGCACCTTACGGTACGGAATATTCAAAGTTCTGCGGAGGAATAGTCCACACCTGTGGCACCTGGTCTGCCAGCACTATGACAGACCGCATCTTTAATATCCACCAGATTTGCGGTAGATTTGCGACCAGCAAGTAAAGAAACAGGTGGCTCTAGCTAGTTTGTCAGCTAGTTTGTCAGCTAGTTTGTCATCCCAAACAGTTGGACATTAGATCAGGATGGCTTGTGAACTGGGACCAGGACAAGGAGTCAGACAACTGTGAACCAGATGAAATACACTTCAAGACAGGTGTTGTAACTACTAACTACTTACAATGTGGGGAGTTGGGACTAACATATATTTCACGGAACATAATTCATACTGGCAGCCGTCCATGTAGAAAAATCGGTCAATTAAAATGGCGGCTGTTTTGGTTGAATATTCAATCATGAGACACTGCACTGAATTCAACAACATAGTAGCAATAACAATTGCTGTTTTACTGGAGTCTGCTAGTAGTTAATAGTATTTAAAATCGAGGCAGTAATTTATTATGGTGTTAATTAAGTTAACTGATGGTTCAGGTCTCTCTCTCAGCCGTGTAACAGTAGGTAACAGTTGAGCTGATACATTTGATTACGTTATAAGTTATTAAGTAAATTTATTAAGTAAAGTATAAGTTATTAAGTAAAGTTGCGTGATCGAGCTAGGAGCATGAAACTGAGAGAGGCTGAGAAACTCTAAAAAGCGCGTACGATTTAAATGAAATACAACAAAGTGGAAGGAATGAGGGAGTTGTCAGTGCCATTACATATCAGAGCGGTCAGCTGGGGTTGTAGCAGGTGCTGGTCCAATCAGCTCACATATATCATCCACAACTCACGTAGTTGACATTTTTAACGGCAAAATCATCAGAAACTTTAAAATGAAATAGATAGTTAGACAATACTGGTACAGGCCGTTATATTTAGCAAAGAAATAGAATCAGCTCTATAATACGTACGGCACATTTCAGATAAATCTTACAAAATTTGTTAAACCATATGGCGGACTGGTCAGCCGGCCAGAAGACCCTGAAACTGAAGAGTTTAAATGCAGCGGGGATGACGTGGGTGCAGGCAAGTTGATACGTCTTAGCGGAGGAGGCAGCCTCTCTTAGCGGAGGAGGCAGCCTCTCTTAGCCAGTAAATGAGTCCTTTGAGAAGGATGAAACTCCGACAAAAAGCAGTTGTTAGAGAAGTAGACAATGAGGAGTAGCAGTGGTAACAATGGGGACAGTCACAAAAAGAAACATTAACCTCATATTAAGAGTAGGGTTAAATATAATTCACTACAAATGAATAACCTAAAGTAGATAGAGAAATGGTAAAATGAGCAAGGTAAAGTATTCGGATTCCATGTCCTTTGATCGAGCAAGTTAATCAGACCCCCAACGAAGGTGCGTATAAATTATCCCAAAACAATAAAACAGTAAGTAAGAGTAAGTAAGCTAGTCACGTGTTATTTAGCGATTAGTCACGTGATACAGTTCGGATACAACTTTACAATAATCTAAATCTGCGACAATGCCAATTGTAGATTTCCTATTTTAGCTATAATTTTATAAATTCGTCCGCGTGTTTGAGTGACAATAATATTATATATGTATTATATAGCAATCCTTAGAGTTTGAATGCAGCTATTGACAAACAATGTCCCTTTATACAGATCTGTGCTAATTCACAATGATTAGCTGTCCAATGAGACAATAATATGTGATATTATGTGGTATTATATGATTCAGAACATTTAGCTACTTAATATCCCAATGAGTTGCCTTTGAAGGCTTATACCGTTCCGCCCGGGTACTCTTCATGCCGCCACATCAAACCTTTTCAACTGAGAGCTAGACCAGTCTATATAATACTATAAGTATAATACTATTATAGTCTGTGTCAGACCGGTCTTCATAATAGTCTAGATCAGACCGGTCTTCATAATAGTCTGGATCAGACCGATCTATATAATAGTCAGGGTCAGACCAATCTTCATAATATTCTGGAGCAGACCGGTCTATATAAAAGTCTGGGTCAGACCGATCTATATAATAGTCTGGGTCAGACCGATCTATATAATAGTATGGGTCAGACCGGTCTATATAATAGTCTGGATCAAACCGATCTATATAATAGTCTGGGTCAGACCGGTCTTCATAATAGTCAGGGTCAGACCAATCTTCATAATATTCTGGAGCAGACCGATCTTCATAATATTCTGGAGCAGACCGATCTATATAATAGTCTGTGTCAGACCGGTCTATATAAAAGTCTGGGTCAGACCGATCTATATAATAGTCTGGAGCAGACCGATCTATATAATAGTCTGGATCAGACCGGTCTATATAATAGTCTGGATCAGACCGGTCTTCATAATAGTCTGGATCAGACCGGTCTATATAATAGTCTGGATCAGACCGGTCTATATAAAAGTCTGGGTCAGACCGGTCTTCATAATAGTCTGGATCAGACCGATCTATATAATAGTCTGGGTCAGTCCGATCTATATAATAGTCTGTGTCAGACCGATCTATATAATAGTCTGTATCAGACCGGTCTATATAAAAGTTTGGGTCAGACCGGTCTTCATAATAGTCTGGATCAGACCGATCTATATAATAGTCTGGATCAGACCGATCTATATAATAGTCTGTGTCAGACCGGTCTTCATAATAGTCTGGATCAGACCGGTCTATATAATAGTCTGGGTCAGACCGATCTATATAATAGTATGGGTCAGACCGGTCTATATAATAGTCTGGATCAAACCGATCTATATAATAGTCTGGATCAGACCGGTCTATATAATAGTCTGTGTCAGACCGATCTATATAATAGTCTGTATCAGACCGGTCTTCATAATAGTCTGGATCAGACCGATCTATATAATAGTCTGGGTCAGACCGATCTATATAATAGTCTGTGTCAGACCGATCTATATAATAGTCTGGATCAGACCGGTCTATATAATAGTCTGGATCAGACCGGTCTTCATAATAGTTTGGATCAGACCGGTCTATATAATAGTCTGGATCAGACCGATCTATATAATAGTCTGTGTCAGACCGATCTATATAATAGTCTGTATCAGACCGGTCTATATAAAAGTCTGGGTCAGACCGGTCTTCATAATAGTCTGGATCAGACCGATCTATATAATAGTCTGGATCAGACCGATCTATATAATAGTCTGTGTCAGACCGGTCTTCATAATAGTCTGGATCAGACCGGTCTATATAATAGTCTGGGTCAGACCGATCTATATAATAGTATGGGTCAGACCGGTCTATATAATAGTCTGGATCAAACCGATCTATATAATAGTCTGGGTCAGACCGGTCTTCATAATAGTCAGGGTCAGACCAATCTTCATAATATTCTGGAGCAGACCGATCTTCATAATATTCTGGAGCAGACCGATCTATATAATAGTCTGTGTCAGACCGGTCTATATAAAAGTCTGGGTCAGACCGATCTATATAATAGTATGGGTCAGACCGGTCTATATAATAGTCTGGATCAAACCGATCTATATAATAGTCTGGGTCAGACCGGTCTTCATAATAGTCAGGGTCAGACCAATCTTCATAATATTCTGGAGCAGACCGATCTTCATAATATTCTGGAGCAGACCGATCTATATAATAGTCTGGGTCAGACCGGTCTTCATAATAGTCTGGGTCAGACCAGTCTTCATAATAGTCTGGGTCAGACCAGTCTTCATAATAGTTTGGGTCAGACCGGTCTTCATTATAGTCTGGGTCAGACCGAACAGTCTCTATATTATCTGATTAAACAGTTTAAAACAGTCCTCTCATCAATTTGGTGACTTTTGCTTTCACATTTTCATTTTCCATGGCACTAATAAATAATAATATAATATAATATAATTAAACAATGATTGAATAAATTGAAAAACAAAATTTATGTCGCGAAAATATACGCGATGAAAATATTCAAGGTTAATATTTTTATATGACTAAGACATTTACTCCCTGGCTGCTCCGATATAAGATTTCGGAAAATCTTTTATGTTTTAAAGAATATGCGTTTTAAGATGAAAGGAAAATTATGAAAATGTCCTATCGGTAAGACATTTTCAGGTTTCAGCTTTCTGTGACCCAAATTTCACTGTTTTGACTGAATTTTTCTTTATATTAATAATCAATTATATTAATAATCAATTAATGAGTTCACTTTGGATGGCACAAGACACAATTGAGGTACTGAAATTTAAATTACCAAAGAAACCTTATTAAGCGCCTCCTCGCCAACTAATTTCTATTAGTATTGGTGCACTGTAAAACCCTTCTCTATGTCAGTGGCGTAACGCGAAGGGCCCCGCTGACCCCGCTGTGCTGGGGGGGGGGGGGGGGGTGTGCCATCTTAGGGGGGCGCAAAATCGTCGTTTGATGTGGGACAATTTTGAAAAACTTAACTGAGGTAGTAGCAAAACTGCGCGTTTTGCTCTAAAAACATACTTTTTTAGAGATTTTATTGGCGCGGCGTATCCTCTAAAATCATCTAATTTGTTCAATTTTAGGGAGGGGCGCCAAAAGGGAGGGGGCGCCAAAAGGGAGGGGGCGCCAAAAGGGAGGGGGCGCATTTTCGGCGGGGTGGGGGCGCCAACAGGCAACGTTACGCCACTGCTCTGGGTGCTCCTAATTAGGTGCCTCCTCGCTAACTAATTTCTATTGATCTATCATCTACACTGTAAAACCCTTCTCCAATAAGAAGTAATATACATTTATAACAGTCAGTAATTCTCGCACGTGAGAAGAAACGAAACCCGGATCAGTGGGTCACGCCGGACCCCGGATCAGTGTTGGATCTAGCCCCTCCAAGACCAAAGAGGACAGTCAAATTCGCTCTGTAAACTTTATAATTTATAACACGCTTATACCTGAAGGTGTAGAATTTCAAAGATTACGCGGCACATGAGACTTATTCCGTCATATCGCACACTAGACTCCTTTTCTCATGATATTCCTCGCCTGATTTCGAGTTTTTGGATTTTAATCTGAATATTGTTATAAATTTGCCAGAGTATGGTGGTTGCTGATAGATTTTTGGTAATTTAACGAATGAAAAGACGGCTATTTTTGTTTTATCTGCTCACACTACTACACTGTGTTCACTCAAATGACGACCGGGATTTTGCGATAAGAAGGGCTTCTTGTAGAAGATTATGTGCTACAAAGGTATTAGTTTAAAATAATCACTGGCCTATTTCTCAATAACAATTCTAAGCGGTGGAAATTTTTGGTTGTTATATCCCCTTATTTGGGCTACAAGTGGTTTTTATATGGGCTACACATGGTTGGTATATCGCCTTATTATCTGCAACAGATCCAATCCCTAATTCGGCCACTATAACTCCACTATGATAAAAATATTTCCCACATATCTACTTTAATTCTATTTCCTTGGCTAATAATAATATTTTCTTGTTGGATCTTATCCTGCCCACAAATAATAAACCCTCCGCAGTACTCCAAGTCTCTAGGAACCTGTCTGGAACAATGCTCTCTACCCCGGGCCTGTTCTCTATACAACTGTCACTTGTTCTGTAACCCTGGTGATGACCTCTGTCTGGACACCTGTCAGAGTTTTACTAACTTTACTGTTGGTTCTTGTGAGAAGGAGTGTTCTGCAGGACCTGTTGTTGATGTGAAGGAGCTCCAGCCGGGAACAGCTTCTTTACGCGTTAGGTTGGTGACCTGGTGCACTGTTGTTATTTACTCAGTTTAATTTATGGTACTGGTAGTATTGAAGCTGTAATATTATTACAACTAGAGCTATCAGCTAACTGGTCGCTATTTCTATTTCTTTTGTATATTGTACATATATATTATATATATTTATTGAAGGGATCTTGGTTGTAAAACCAAGTTTGGATTTGCAATGCAGAACTTTAAAACTCCATTCCGCAACCCTTCAGCGCCAAATTAGCACTAAAAGTCGAATCACACGTGATCCTGATCAAGCAAATAAACAAAGAAACTGGACAGAACTTGACCTACGACTTTTCATTTGATCTGAACACCACTTTCACCGGTCTCTATCCTTGGTTTCAATATCAAGTAGATGTCATTTCACTATTTTCAAACTCCTGTTGTGTCTCTACAGGGCTATGGATTGGAAGCGTCTCATTCGATCGTACAGGCAAGTGTAATGAATTGAAATCTACTAGATAATTACAATTACAACCCTAGAAAATGTTGACAATTAACACATGTCAACTTAGAATCAGTTATATCATTGCATCTTTTAACAAAGCTACTTTTCATTTACCCCACTCTTATTCAGGATACACTGTGGTAGATAGCAGGAAAGTGAGCAATGTAACTTTCCTCCCTTACCCATTACCAGCTTCCTGGATAGACACGACCTTGACTGGCAGAGTGTCGTACAATGTAGACATCACTTGGTTCTACGATACTACTAATGAGACGTACCAGAGGGAAGGAACTAGGAAGATTAACAACAATGATATTGGAGTGAGGGGAGGGGAGGTTATTGAAGGGTCGGAGAGTGTCTACACGTCCTGCTATGGTACTGATATTATACAAGAAGTGTTTTATTGTGTTTACCGCGGGTTTGGTATGGGATACCTCTTCAAAGTAGGTCCAACTAGTTTCTCTAGTAGTATAGTAGTACTAATTATCACTAGTTTCTTTAGTAGTATAGTAGTACTAGTAATAATTATCACTAGTTTCTCTAGTTGGTTGTGCACTATTTTAGTTTTACCAGTGCCACAATCTCAACTCGAGATGATAAAAGTACATGTTAAAATATTGCTGATGTTTTTGTATAACTGATGACAATAAATGTTCAGGAATCCCTGGCCCACAAACCCCGCCCTTCAGTATTATATGTAGACAATAAGTCAGGGGACGAGGTACTGGTAGAGGTAGAACTATCTATAAAACCTAGGAATACCTGCAAATACTTCCCCTGGGTGGACCACACTAAACCAATAGGCTTGCAACTGGAGTGTAGTAGAAGACACAGGACCACAAGTCAGGTGGAGGTAGCTTACAGAGCAGATATCCATATCCATATAAGGGCATGTTTTATGAGTGTTGAAGAAGGTGGGACAATAAACCAGCCGTGTTGTAGTGACAAGGGTGTGGGTTGTGTCTGGGACGAGGACAACAAATTGCTGAAAAATCTCACTGAGGCTCGGAACTATCTGATCTACTTTTACAACAGCACTACTGACAATAGTGTCTGCAAGGTTTATCGCACATATTTTGTATTCTCAACTCGCATATTTAATGAAGTTATCTTAGAGCGAAAGATGTTAAATATGCCCTTTTTTGGGCTTCGCGTGACGGTGAACTAAATTCGCAGTGTCTAACTAACTTTTTAATGTCTACCTCAGAAAGAACTGCCATGTGATGGGTTCTACGAACGTGTCACACCACGTGATATCAAGAAGTGCTCCACCCCTCTCCCCCTGCTTACAATAATCATTCCCTCTATTTCTGGCTTTGCGCTAGTTCTTATTGTTGTCGTTGGTGCGATTACCCTCTGGAAGTTAGTTAATTTCCAGCTAGCGAGGAAAAACGCAAATTATGATGCACACAATTAAACTCGATGGTTCACACAATTAAATGACCTCTTCCGAAGATTTTTGGGACCAGAAACTTAAAAGTTGCCCACACTCAGGTTCAAGTGTGGGAATGTGCTGGTTGCTAAAGAAGCTAACATACCCTGGGACGGACAGGGACTTGGAGGAGAGCTCTCCAGGGATGCTATTTCAAAAGAGAGGTGGATCATAGAATGTGTTTTATCTTTTGAGATTATTAACGTGTTTTTTAAGTAAGGGGTCGTTCACATATTACGTAATCAATATTTTAGCAATTTTTACCCCCCTCCCCCCTTCCGTAATCAAGACCCCCCCTCCTGACATCAATTAATTACGTAATCATGGCCTGACCCCCCCCCCCCCCCCCCCCCCCCCGTTGACTTTTTTCCTAGAAAACACTTTTCTCTACGTTTCATGCTACCCTGATCATGCTATCATGATGAGCCGAAATCATTGTTATGATATCCGGCCAAGCACCTTCTAAACTACTTACTATTATAGCCGGATATTCGATCAATTTCTAAATTTTATCACTATCAGAGTGAAATTGAGTGGAATTCGAATTAAATTGTTATTATTCTAGAGGGTAAAAAAGAAAATGTTGATTACGTAATCAACGACCGAAACCCCCCCCCCCCCCCCCCCCCCCCCGTAATCAACCGTAAGCATTTGGAAACCCCCCTCCCCCCTCGGCTGATTACGTAATATGTGAACGACCCCTAACTGTAAGGGTGTTCTGTTCTAAATGATTGATATTTTATCGTAGCAAATAAATATCCATTTCTTTTGGGTTTGTGAATGACCTCTTTCAACTTTGAGTTTTACTTTTTTAACCTTAAGTTTTACCTGCATGACCCTTGAAACCCTCGTAGTCCTAAATTATCATAATGAAATTAAATAAATTATCAACATTTCAAAACCCTTAGTTACTTGGACAGAGGGAACTTTGGGTACATCCTAGGAGGGAAACTAAAAGTAAAGCTGCATGAGAAAGATGAGCTTACTAAGCAGTACGATGTGGCTTTAAAAATACTCAAGACTAAGGTGGATAAAGAAGAACATCTAGCAGAAACCGAAGAAAATATTAAAGGTACGTGTTATTTGGAACAGTTTTGGGTAAACTCCGAACTTCGGCGAATCTGTCAGGCTTGTTATTTTGTGTTTTTGTTTTTAATTGAAGCGTGGAATAAACAAGATGTTTGATACTTTTGAGAACCCAAAGTTTTGCAGATGCTAAGAAAGCGATGAAAGCAGAGATCCACATAATGAAGCAGATCCAAGGTTCGGGGCGGGAGCTGGGTGAGCACGTGCTAAGAATGTATGGGTATGTGGTAGATGCACCTCCGTACATTCTAGTGCTTGAGCTGTGTGTCACAAACCTCACTCGCTACCTCCGGAGACTCAGGATACAGGTACACTACTTCCTTAAACCTTTATTTCATCTCACTCAGTCACCAATTTTGGGTTTGGTAAAGTTGTGAATAGGGACATTTTTCATAAATTTCCAGGTCATTAGGTAATAATTACTATGATATTAAGCTGTATAGTACATAGTATAAGTATTAGCTGTAGTTGCCAAAACATTGTTCATTTTCAGATCGAGAACAAGACTCTTTCACCTGAAGAGGTACAGATCGGTACAGTGTTGAGTATTGAAGATCACAAGAACAGTATCTCAAAACAAGACCGAGTAAAGAACCTTGCACGTGCAAAAGAAGAACCTGCGCGCAAGAGTAAAAGTTTGACAAGATCAGGAGCAGAGAACAGAGGCCGTGAGAGAGGAGACAGAACAGAGAGTACCTTAGTGAGCCAATCTGGTGCTGAAAATACTCTCTCTCTAGTTCACAACAGGTAGATTATCTACTAGATAAGTAGATACAATCAAGATGTAATTGTAGTGTCTTACTTTATTCTTATCTCTACCCCTGTACAGAACCTCTTATCTTATCTCTAACCCTGTACAGGACCGCTTATCCTATCTCTAACCCTGTACAGGATCACTTATCTTATCTCCAACCCTGTACAGGACCGCTTATCTTATCTCTAACCCTGTACAGGACCGCTTATCTTATCTCCAACCCTGTACAGGACCGCTTATCTTATCTCTACCCCTGTACAGGACCTCTAATCTTATCTCTAACCCTGTACAGGACCGCTTATCTTATCTCTAACCCTATACAGGACCGCTTATCTTATCTCTAACCCTGTACAGGACCGCTTATCTTATCTCTAACCCTGTACAGGACCGCTTATCTTATCTCTAACCCTGTACAGGACCGCTTATCTTATCTCTACCCCTGTACAGGACCGCTTATCTTATCTCTAACCCTGTACAGGACCGCTTATCTTATCTCTACCCCTGTACAGGACCGCTCTAACCCTGTACAGGACCTCTTATCTTATCTCTACCCCTGTACAGGACCTCTAATCTTATCTCTAACCCTGTACAGGACCGCTTATCTTATCTCTAACCCTATACAGGACCGCTTATCTTATCTCTAACCCTGTACAGGACCGCTTATCTTATCTCTAACCCTGTACAGGACTGCTTATCTTATCTCTAACCCTCTACAGGACCGCTTATCTTATCTCTACCCCTGTACAGGACCGCTCTAACCCTGTACAGGACCTCTAATCTTATCTCTACCCCTGTACAGGACCGCTTATCTTATCTCTACCCCTGTACAGGACCGCTTATCTTATCTCTAACCCTGTACAGGACCGCTTATCTTATCTCTACCCCTGTACAGGACCGCTCTAACCCTGTACAGGACCTCTAATCTTATCTATACCCCTGTACAGGACCGCTTATCTTATCTCTAACCCTGTACAGGACCGCTTATCTTATCTCTAACCCTGTACAGGACCGCTTATCTTATCTCTAACCCTGTACAGGACCGCTTACCTTATCTCTAACCCTGTACAGGACCGCTTATCTTATCTCTAACCCTGTACAGGACCGCTTATCTTATCTCTAACCCTGTACAGGACCGCTTATCTTATCTCTACCCCTGTACAGGACCGCTTATCTTATCTCTAACCCTGTACAGGACCGCTTATCTTATCTCTACCCCTGTACAGGACCGCTCTAACCCTGTACAGGACCTCTTATCTTATCTCTACCCCTGTACAGGACCGCTTATCTTATCTCTAACCCTGTACATGACCGCTTATCTTATCTCTACCCCTGTACAGGACCGCTCTAACCCTGTACAGGACCTCTAATCTTATCTATACCCCTGTACAGGACCGCTTATCTTATCTCTAACCCTGTACAGGACCGCTTATCTTATCTCTAACCCTGTACAGGACCGCTTATCTTATCTCTAACCCTGTACAGGACCGCTTATCTTATCTCTAACCCTGTACAGGACCGCTTATCTTATCTCTAACCCTGTACAGGACCGCTTATCTTATCTCTAACCCTGTACAGGACCACTTATCTTATCTCTACCCCTGTACAGGACCGCTTATCTTATCTCTAACCCTGTACAGGACCGCTTATCTTATCTCTACCCCTGTACAGGACCGCTCTAACCCTGTACAGGACCTCTTATCTTATCTCTACCCCTGTACAGGACCGCTTATCTTATCTCTAACCCTGTACATGACCGCTTATCTTATCTCTACCCCTGTACAGGACCGCTTATCTTATCTCTAACCCTGTACAGGACCGCTTATCTTATCTCCAACCCTGTACAGGACCGCTTATCTTATCTCTACCCCTGTACAGGACCTCTAATCTTATCTCTAACCCTGTACAGGACCGCTTATCTTATCTCTAACCCTATACAGGACCGCTTATCTTATCTCTAACCCTGTACAGGACCGCTTATCTTATCTCTAACCCTGTACAGGACCGCTTATCTTATCTCTAACCCTGTACAGGACCGCTTATCTTATCTCTACCCCTGTACAGGACCGCTCTAACCCTGTACAGGACCTCTTATCTTATCTCTACCCCTGTACAGGACCTCTAATCTTATCTCTAACCCTGTACAGGACCGCTTATCTTATCTCTAACCCTATACAGGACCGCTTATCTTATCTCTAACCCTGTACAGGACCGCTTATCTTATCTCTAACCCTGTACAGGACCGCTTATCTTATCTCTAACCCTGTACAGGACCGCTTATCTTATCTCTACCCCTGTACAGGACCGCTCTAACCCTGTACAGGACCTCTAATCTTATCTCTACCCCTGTACAGGACCGCTTATCTTATCTCTACCCCTGTACAGGACCGCTTATCTTATCTCTAACCCTGTACAGGACCGCTTATCTTATCTCTACCCCTGTACAGGACCGCTCTAACCCTGTACAGGACCTCTAATCTTATCTCTACCCCTGTACAGGACCGCTTATCTTATCTCTAACCCTGTACAGGACCGCTTATCTTATCTCTAACCCTGTACAGGACCGCTTACCTTATCTCTAACCCTGTACAGGACCGCTTATCTTATCTCTACCCCTGTACAGGACCGCTCTAACCCTGTACTAGGCCTGTACATGACCGCTTATCTTATCTCTAACCCTGTACAGGACCGCTTTTTATCTCTAACCCTGTACAGGACCTCTTATCTTATCTCTAACCCTGTACAGGACCGCTTATCTAATCCCAAACTGCTTGTCCCCAGACCGAGAGTACTATCAAGGGGAGCTCAAGGAAACACCAGTTCGTATAACGACAGTGTGCACGGTAAAATGTCCCGACTCGAGCCCAGTATGGATAGGTTTAAAGACACTGTTCTAACTACAGCAGACCTTCTGAACTTCTGCCGGCAGGTCAAGTTATTCATTTAAAAATTCCCTCTTAACCTCATTTAGTTCTCTCTCAATCCTTTAATATTTCATTTTGACCCGACTGAATGTTGTTTTCAATGTTGTTTTGCATTTTGAATGAACGTTTATAATCACCATATTGTTGCGTCAGGTTTCCTCTGGAATGGACTTCCTACACAGCATAGAGCTGATACACAGAGATCTAGCGGCTGATAACGTACTGCTAAAAGAGGAACCTGACGGAAAGCTGACAGTTAAAATTTGTGATTTCGGGCAGAGCAGGATGCTTTACAATGGAAAGTACATGTGCTCGGGGGACAGTGTTACAGACCGACAGAGGATGTTCAGGCTCAGGTGGACAGCTCCCGAGGTAGCTTCTTCCAGCTTCTATAGTAGTAGTATAATTAGTATATCTTGTTTAGGAATAGGATGTTCAACTCACTCGCAAATACTAAATTTAAAAACCAGCAATGATGACAGATGATACATTTTCATATTCCAGATCAAGCAAGATCCTAAGAAATGGTCAAAGTTTAGCGATGTTTGGTCCTATGGAGTGCTCATGTGGGAAGTCTTTACACTGGTAAGAATGGCTTTATCAAATAGTGGGAAGCTGTAGTTTTGCCACCTCTATTATAGTTATACTACCATATAACGGAGAATTTACAAACCATTTCAACTTGAAATAGAAATATTCGAATGATAACTTTCTCTAAACAAAACTCAAAACTGGTTTTAAACCCTCGGTAAGTGACGACCTGGTATTCAGGGAGGAATACCCTACCCAGGGTGGCCAGATCACCACGTGCTCGACAACTTACTGTCCGGGATGAGGATGAAACAGCCGCCATGCTGTAGCGACACAGTCTGGGAGATGGCGCTGAGGTGCTGGGACCACAACCCTCAGGCTAGGGGCGAGTTCAATGAGATTAAGGTATCATCTCCATATATTTGGAACGTGCTTTACATTCTCGAACCTAGGCCTAGATCGTTTTTAATAACATTAACAGTTTATTTAAAAGAGCCCTTATATTTTTGACTAAAATAATTCAACTAATTTTTCAGAACTCTTGAAAAATTATAGGATTGATGAGGTTTTTTAAAAGTTGTTATACTTATTTTATTAACCAAAGCCTGATTGGCCAGCTGGAGCTAGATAAGATAATGTGTGAGGATCGAGACAAGGAACTAGGAGTTAAACCTTCAGACTACACGTTTTGTGACGTACCAGCTGAGACAGAGGATAATCATATACTGGGAACAGCTGAAGAAGTTGACCTGAACCTCATGGTTAGTGTTTGGTTTATTTGTCTTTTTAAGATCGGCGATGGGACTTACATTTTGCATTTTGGTCAATTGGAATTAACGGATATGATCCTGCCAAGCTTGTGTAGTTGTAAAGAAGTTCCACCTTAATTACACTTTAAGTTTAAATAATCAACGCGACAAACAAAACCAACGTGTTGTTAACAATGAAATTTTGGTGCTGGAAATTTTGGTGCTGGAAATCTCAGAATTAAGAATTTCCACTGACGAATCCTGGCGCCAGTATTGGCGCAGTTCGTGACACTCCGATATTATAGTCCTTTACTTGATTGCCTCGATCCAGCAAGCAAAGGTTATATCAATGGTTCTGAAGCTCCTAGCTTCGTCTCCGCTTGAAGGAGTAAAATCTACAGTAGTTCCAAGTTTATCATACGAGTTAATCCAAGTTTATCATACGAGTTAATCCGATGACGAAATCAATTATTATCTATACGCTAAAGTTGCATTACATATTTTTAATTTTATAACCTGGAGGCCCTCCAATGGAGGGGAGTTGTTTAAAATATATAATTAAAAAGGATTATATTATTAGTATTAGTATTACCATTAATATTATATTAGTTCGGGGCGGTTCTTACAATATGATTTTCCACTTTTCTTAGCAATTTCTCCGAACAGTTCGCGCAATTTAATTGTCACCTATACACTTGACACTGTCGGAGTGTCCCAGTTTAGTAAAATGTAATGCTCCTCAGGATACTGACGAGGGAGAAGGACCACTAGATTTAAATACCGACGAGTGGGTTGTAGTTGAAAACAGGACAGCTGGTCAGATCAACAGAGCGGCCGGGGAGCAGAGAGTTACGCTTCATGTAAATAGTGACACAGTCAGGATCAGTCCAGATGATATAGCCCAGTTTTGATGAACATATAGCTACTAGCTAGCTAGCTCATAGCTAGCTACTATGTGCTAGCTAATATAGCTAAAAATTCATTGTAAATCTTAACTGATTTTTGTTTCTTTGATGATAGATGAAAATCTTTCTTATCTAATGCTCGAATCTATAAATTTATGAATACTATTGTAGAGATGTGCTGTGAACTGAATGTAAAGCTGCTATTCTTTATTCACTATTTTAATTTTAAGTTTTCAAAACTCCATTTTAATTATTGGTTATTTCCCTTTAATTTATTGATTCCAATTCCATACACCCACATAGATACAGATCTACTTCTAGCTCTGCCATTACCTGGTAGAAAGAAAACTGAATCCATTTCGGTTTCAATAAAAATCACTTAAAGTAAAATATTATCATTCATGTGTTATATTCATTACACTTAAACTCAAAGACAGAATATTTTTATCTCTGTTTGCTTAAAGACCATAAAAACGACATCTAAAATCACGATAAAGAATAGGTATTAAACACACAAACTTTAAGTAACGATGTTACTTTAAGTAACAATACTAACATCACTAGAATACTCAAAAGTACAGAACCAATTAAGATCTGTCAATTTGGCGCTATACTATCTTAGGGGGGCGCCAAATCAACGTTTGAATTTGGGAAAATTTAGCAAAACTGCGCGTTTTGATCTAGAAACACATTTTCTAGGGGGGCAACGTTACACCACTGTGTTGGAGTAATATTTTAAGAAAATAACACTCTTAGCGCCTCTTAGCGCCGATTAATTGCTTCAAATGAACGCTGATTTTTAAGGAGAAAGAGTTCTTATCTTAACTCAGCCGTTCGGCACAGGAGAAGATTGCTCATTTTTAGGACCATAATTAGATCCTGTTTTTATGTTCATTAGCCCTATTTAATGATTATTAATTTCAATGTTAATTTTAAGAATGCTGATAGTTAAAGATAATTAACATGACATATTAAAAATGTTTAAAAATCTATTTATTTTTAAAGTTTCAGATTTACACTTTTAGATTAAGATATTATATAAATACGATTACGTGCTCAGAAATAATCACACTATATACTATAGCTGTACAGTCACAATCATTTTGAATTTAAAGGAAAGTTGGAATTCGTATTTTACATTGTTTATTTCATTTGTCAACTAGTCCGTGCATCAAATATAATAGTAATTCGAAAATGAATCAACTGAATATTTAAATTAATCTGACTTCACAGCTCATATAGTCAGCCATGTATCGTTTTTCTAGAATAAATTCCATAAAAGATCTAGTTAGTTGAATATCTCGGTTCTGACTCCAAACTCAGCTCGTCTTTTCTTTAAAGTCTTTGCTACTTGATAAACCTGGGGTTTTAAGAGGTTGGGAGAAATTGTGAGGAGATAAGATAAGGGTTGGTATAATTAGAAGAGAATTAATACTTCTCCTCTATGATAAATATAATAGAGTAAAGAATTCATAAAATTCACATTTTATGTATCCCATTTTGGAATTTGATGCGATGCTTTAAGAGTATCTAGATACTTAGAGCCAATAAAACGTATTGTATATTTTACGGACATACTGAGAAATATATCAATATAATGAATTCATGTACATTAAAAGTGAAACATGTTAATTATGATATAAATCAAATTAATTTGTCGGGTACAATTAACAATTAAACTTCTGTTTTGCTCCAGCTCTTAACGATTTTGATACAAAGCGAACGAATAAAAACATCACAAAAGTCTCGTAAGACTAAGATTGTCCTAACTTTGGAATTTATAAATAAAGTTTATAAAGGAGCATCTCCACCCGTAGGAAATACTGTGGGGTGAGTGAATTAAGTATCAGCATTCTGATTGGTATATTAGAGATATAATCCAAAATCAGGACAATCTAGTTCATTTTACAAAAAGAGAAATTTTAATACCGCAAACAAAGATTTTCTCGACATAAAATCCATTTTCAAAATACCAATTTAGTATTTACATTACAATGTAACCACTGTAAGATTATACATAAATTATCAAACAAGACTTTAGATCAAACCAATCAGAATGCTGAAAATTTGTGCTTGAATTTGTGAGTACTGGGCACCAGTAATAAACCTGACACAAAAAGGGTGCACGTGGTAATTTTAAGATTGTCTTTTAATTTGTGCAATATCACCGACTCTCATAGTTACCATGGTTACTGCTGAGCTATTTTTAAAACAACATTTGTCTGAAATGATGGTGAGAGCCGACTATTACTTTTGTTTTTATTTGAGTCAAAGTAGAAAGGGCCTGGCGCCTGCACGAGTTTAAAGGTTTAATAACTTTTAGCTTAGCCAGACTGATTGGTCTAATTAGAAGTAGATAATTTGAACCAGCAAAACTCTGACAGCGTACAGCGGGTCATCAAGTTACTATAGTTATTATTATTACTTTAGTTACTATAGTTACTATAGTTACTATAGTTACTAAGCCCAGGCGGGAGGGGAAATGCACGCTATATCAGTTATTATTTGAATGTCAATGTGAACTAGACCAGCAGTTGATTTCATCACGTGATCTAGATATCTTCCAATTATGTTTAAATTTCAACCGGAGAGAGAGTGCTTGAGCTGCTCCTGGGAAATGAGTTCAGTAAATCATCTGACACGTTACCAATTACCATGACAACACGACACTTATATGTCATGGTGCTGTGTGATGCTGTGTAATCAAGCGTCACTAATTTTAGCCACTTATTTATTGGGGATATAGTTAACATTTTAATAAAGCTGAGATATTTCAATGTGTAAGAAGGAGCCAAGACGTGAAAATGGGATATTTGTGAGAGATGATGTGTTATTAAGTTATTAGTGATCTGACTGCTGTGTGAGCATTGACTGACCTGTCGAACTCAGTAGGTTCCACCTCCTCCTCCTCGCTCCGGGAGCTCTGCTCACTAGCTGACACCTCTACTCCTACATTGTCCACCCTTACACTGTCTGACAGCTTCCTGGGCACTGTGAGACCAGGTTACAGGTTACCAGGTTGCAGGTTACTAGGTTACCAGGTAATAGGTTACAGGTTACAGGGGGGGGGGGGGCAATGACTACCAATGGAGACTTTTGGGGACTAATGGGGACTAAAAATCATGGGGACTAGAGGTCAACTCGTTGACGTAATTCACCATTTGTCCCCATAAGTCCCCAGAATTTTTGACAGTTATTTATGGTTTTCAAGTTAGTTTAATAACGATACGATCGAGATGTTTTGTCCAAGATAAGAGTAGGATAAATCTAAATGGGGACTAATGGAGACTTTTGGGGACTAATGGGGACTAAAAATCATCTAAATGGGGACTAATGGAGACTTTTGGGGACTAAAAATCATGGGGACTCGGGGTAAAATCGTTGACGTAATTCCCCAAGTCCCCAAAAGTAGTCATTGGCCCCCCCCCCCCCCCCCCCCCCCCCCCCGTTACAGGTTACTAGGTTACAGGTTACAGGTTACCAGGTTACCAGGTTACCAGGAAATAGGTTACAGGTTACAGGTTACCAGGATACAGGTTACAAGGTTACAGGTTACCAAGTTACTAGGTTACCAGGTAATAGGTTACCAGGTTACCAGGTTACCAAGTTACAGATAACAAAGCCCCCCTAACAAACAAGGTTCACAACTCTAGATATATATGTCTGTATATATACAGACATGCAAACAAATTATTAGTTTCATGGAATAGTTACAGCTGAAATCTTGAGCCCGAATGATATAAAGTAAAGAGCCGGTAGAGAGCCGGTAAAGAGCCAGCAGAGAGCCGGGGAAAGCTCTCAATATTACCTGGAGGTGCCTCAGTAACATGTGTTTCCAATGTTATATCATCACCGTTATTCGGATTAGAAGGTCCTGCTTCCAGCTGGAGTGAGGAGCTACTGCCCCCTGTTATAATAGTTATTACACTCATGTAAAGCAATACAAACATTGTAAAGCTCCCAAAATGTACAACATATTACTGATTACATATTATATAGTTAATAGTTATATACATAATGTATTTAAAGAATGTTTAACTCTGACTTACTCCTAGAGTTGGAATCCAGCGAGCTGCTACATTTGTACTCCACCAGATCCACTCTTTCAAACGTCTCCTCGCTCTCCTGAGGAGATAAGACTGGGGTTACTCTCTCCACAGTTTTGGATAATTCATAATACGTGCTGCTTTCTTCTAGTTTGTAAGAAGTTTAACAACGATCTCAACATATCTAATTGATCAAATTAACCTCAACTAACTGTTTTGTTATTTTTAAGAAGCAGTCGTCAAGACTAGTGAGGTCTCTCAGTTTTGAAATATCAACAATTTTGATAAACTTAAAATGAGATAATGAATGTCGCTGCGTGCAATAAATTTCGGGGACATTTGTATTGGTACAGAATACCACATTAATTAAATCATGTTTAACGGCCAGGTAGCGTAGTTGGTTAATCATCGGATTTGTAATCGTGAGATTGCGAGTTCGAAACCCACTGCCTGCCTAGTCGTGGGGTGAGTGTCGTCGACATTCAGCTAAAGATCCTGAGTGGTCTATGCAGCCCCCCGGTCTACTCAGCCGAATATTCGAGAAATCGTGTGTGAGGGTTAAATGAGAAGCTGTCCATTGCAGCGAAGTTTCGGGCGAAGAAAGTATGGTACACACTACCTTAACCGTCACTGGCCTAATTAAATCCTTCGGCTTCCTGTAATTGGCTAGTTACACTTGTGTAACAATGTGGCTGTTGGAATACTCCGAAGTAAAATAAGTGTGAGATTTAAAAAAAGTATAAATAATAATAATTATTCCTACAAATCTTACCGTTTTACCATCAGATTCATCAGTAGCGACTCTCTGTAGAGCCTCTATCCTCAACAAGGCCCGGAAGGGTTGTCGGCACATCAGACACACGTTGCTCTTAAACCGCACGTCCTCCGCGCACGTGTAACACAGACACAGGTGTCTGCAGGGGAGTATCATGGTGTCGCGCGGCGCGTTCAGACAGACAACACACTCACCGTTACCTGTAGAGGTATCTTGTTAAATTACACGCTTATATTGCAGTGAGGTGTAAAGTAAGAAATCAGAGTTACCGAAGTAAATACCATTTAGTTAGGAGGTAGCGAGCATTTACTATTTACTGTAACTTAGTACGTACCCACTGATTTATCAGAGCTTCCCTTGCTCTCCATCCCGTAAATCTCTTGCAAGATGAAGGATATTCCATCAATGTTCTGTTTCTGTTTTAGGACCTTTACCGAGAAGATGTTATCAACAGATTTCTCAAATACACAGAATACGAAATGAGCGTGGTCCTGAAACTCAGCTTCCACTGTCACGTGTATCACCTGATGTTGTTTAGAGAATCATTGAGCTGCTGTGAAATGTGAATCACCTGATGCTGTTTAGAGAATCATCCCAAAATTTTCCATTTATTAGTAGAAATATAAGAACACTAAACGAATAAACTACAAACCAGGGGTATAGGCTCCGTCATGTTGCTGTTCCACTTGAACATGGAGTGAGGGAACTCCCCAGGACTGAACACGAGATCAGGCTCGGAGAACTGTTGTCCAATACCTGGGACAAAAAGGTTACAACACTAGACTCTGACAAAACTGGGACACAACAGATGCTTAAAGTAATGATTTTTAGAAGTGTCGACATTACGCGTCAATCTACATGGGGCCTGGGGGTATTAAACAATTGTCCTCCCACTATATTACTCGTACCAGCGGGGAAGTTGAAGTGTTTAACAGCAGGATCACGTTGAGAACTAACAATAGCATCATCCTTAACTCCAGTCAGTACTCTCACAACACACGCCACATCTGCATCCACCACGAATTCTAGCGTGTAGTTACCATGGCAACTACACTGGTTACAGGGACAACAGCAGGGGGGTTTCACCAACTTGACACTGTCCCTCCTCACATTCACCAGACTCTGGAGTGTCTTGCTGGGTTCACTAGCAGCTGGAGCGGGGTAAGGGAAGGGGGCAGGTCTTCTGTTTAAGAAGGTCAGATCGTTAGGTTCCCCGAACAAGTACGCGTCGTTACGTCCCGTGTTGAAATGTTCACCTCCCATTATAAAGTAGGAACCAAAGTAGCAGCCGGATCGGGGTGGGAACTGTACCTGAACAAGGAACCTGTTTATAAAAGCCAGCCTTTACCTGAACAAGGAACCTGGTTAACAATAGCCAGCCTACACTACACTACACTACACTACACTAGACTACACTACACTACACTACACTACACTACACTACACTACACTACACTACACTACACTACACTACACTACACTACACTGTACCTGAACAAGGAACCTTGTTAATAATAGCTAGCTTTTCAGAGTTCAGTTAGATTTTGAAAATAAACAAGAAGCAAAAAGATAATGATATAGCGAAAATGAACAAGAAACAGAAAGATAACAGAGAGAAACTGAAAGAGAAAGCAACCCTGTTACCTGTGAGGTTTCTTCATTGCGAGGAGGGTTAAGTGGACCTCTGAACAAGGCTAAGACTGACCCCATGATCACATCACCACACACAGAAACTGCTGAACCCTCGACCAGTTGGGGGCAAAGTCTCTACATACTAGGGTAATTGTACAGGTCAGCGAATAAAAGTTTAACGGTTAAAAGGTTTTTTGTTTGTTTAGGGAGTGGGACGGTTAAACAGAAGGACAGAATAAAAAGGAGAAAACATCTTAACTTTTTAGGTATAATGTCAATAATCGGTGTAAGAGCACCATTCACCAATAATTACTAATTACAATTCTGTGATAGAAAATATATTATACATTATACAATATACATTAGCAAAATCACAATAAAATGTGTTAGTCAATAGACTAAAAGCGCTGCCTCCTGCATAGCAGGGAATTACAGTACAGTATACTATATATAGTTTACAGTACACTTTATAAATAAGTGAGTACCACCCCACATTATATGAAGACCCCCCCCCCCCCCGGCCCCCCCCCCCCCCGGCCCCCTTAATGGTTTATGGTACACCTTAGGAAGTACCTAAATTGTCAATCACTGCTTATAAAAACATAGCATCATAACTAAAATCAGTGTCAGAAACAAAAATTTATAAAAAAGTATCAATCGTGATAGAGAAATAACCAAGTTGCTACAAGATAGCAGCGAGGAAGTCCCCGGGATCCACAGCAGAGAGAGCCCTCATAACCACAGAGTTAGGGATAGGAACTATCATGCCTTCCTCCTCCAGAACACGGTAATTCTGGGTCACGTGACTTGTCACTTCTTCTCGGGTCATTCCCTCACTCTGGGAGGCAGTGCTCATTATTACAGGAGTTCAATAAGTCGAATATTAGCCTTGTCTAATTTAAACAGATTTATCTAACATAAATTAGGAGAATTAATACTGTACTTACAACTATTTATATATGAATACTTTTAACTGAAGATCACCGTAAATGCATCACACAAGAAAGCTAACAACATCTAAAGTTCTTTCAAAACATAATGCATATTCTTAGCCTCTGTCATCACATTACATAAAATAATTACAACTTTTACTAAAATTTGATCTTGTTATATTGACTTAAAGAGTATTTATACTCTTTAAGTATTTATAAATAATCTAACTCACCTCAAAGTTAGGCTCTAGAATTTGCACGTTTTTGTCAAGCCCAGAGCAGGCTAGAACAGGATCAAAAGGGTGTGGTTTAACCGACATGGTGGTGTGGGAGTCAACTTGGAGAGCTGCCAGCACTTCACACGTACTCTTATCCCACACAAACACGCGGCCACAGTCACTACCTGTGTGAGGAAGTAACGTGTTAGTCACGTGTTTCAGTCACGTGACACGTTTAAAATCTAACGTGTTGATTCAGTTAGCAAAGATAAGCGCGAGTCTTACCTGAAAGAACATATTTATCATCCCAAAAAGCCGCTTCTTTTAGTATTGTTCGTGTATTTCTGTGGCCCGTATACCGTCCAATGATCCCATTACTTTCTCTTTCACGATATGTTTCTCTTTCACTTTCATTTTCGGATTGACCTCTTTCTGCTAACCAGTTCGTGATTTCTGATCCCAGCTGACCCAAAGAACTGGAGGCCTCCCTTATTCGGTTGCTAGAAGAGTCTTCACTCACCACAACACGCTCCTGCCCTCTCTCATTTGTAGAGTTTTCAGAAAAACTAGCAGTATTAGCGGTTTCAAGGTCGACAGTTTCTCCACTGTTAGGATCATTAGAGATCAGCAGAGCACCTGTAGGTTAAATGTAGTGTAGATTGATAACGGGTACAGCGACAAGATGCTATTATTGCACTGGTAAAAATGAAAGTTAACTTAAAGTTGAAGTGTGACGGATGACCAAGAGTTTTCACAGGCCTGTTCTCTCAGATAATTACCTATAGTTCTAGTGTTAAGGAGTATCTCAGTGCCACTGTTATTGTACACAGCGTGTGTAATCCTATTGCTTCCTCCCAGATGAGGGCGGGGGAAGGGCGGCACGTCGTATCTCCGCACTATTGCTCTGTGGTCCGTACAGCAGAACCTCAGGTCGTGTACACCTGTAGTTAGAGCTGTTAGTTTATAAGATATAACGTTAGTTTATAAGATATAACGTTAGTTTATAAGATATAATGTTAGTTTATACGATATGCCGTTAGTTTCTAAGATATAACGTTAGTTTAAAATTTAGCAGAATTAATGCCAATCAGAACTACATTTTTTGTAAGGAACAAGCTGTATAGTAAGATTGTAGCAGACAGTACTGTAAGAATGTAGCAGACAGTAACAAGTGCTAACTATCTACTCACCTAGATAGGGACCATGAGAAACGCAGAACTGATGAGGGTTAGCAGGGTTGACAGCCAGAGACCGATAAGACATAGTCCCCACCAGCAGCAGGTTGTTGTTGCACGTGCGACTTGAGTAGCATGTGCCTAGTGCGCGGCGGTCGAACAACCTGTGAACTGTAAAGTTAGAGATAGCTCTAGAAAGGGAACAGTGATATGTGAACATTTTGTTAGATTCTAGAACTCTTGATCTGGAAACAATCTTAACTAAGCTTGGTTCTCTATCAATAGACCATTGTCAGTTGAGATATCTAAACGAAGTAACTGAATTCTCCGAGTAATAGGCATAGTGTAAATAGATATCTTAACTCATTTATTAATTAATACTAATTAATTAATTAATTATAACTAATTACCTGACAGTGCGATCAGCTGAAGCGGTATAGAACACGTCGCTACTCATTCCGACCAGAGGTTTGACTGAGAACACAGAACCACTGTGGCACCTGATAACTGTGTAGTAGCGAGTTGATGTGACGTCACGTGAACTTATGACGTCATCAGTGAGGTTATTTGGAGAGCTGGGCAGTTGAGGGAGTAGAGGAAGCACGATCAGTCCCGTACTTGTCCCTGTAAGGAGTGACTGACTGACTGACTGACTGACTGACTGACTGACTGACTGACTGACTGACTGACTGACTGACTGACTGACTGACTGATTGACTGACTGACTGACTGACTGACTGATTGACTGACTTACCAGCGACTACAGTCTCCCTATCCAGGAACTCAGCATCGTACACCTCAGCAGGCATACGCGCACTGGCTATCCTCCTACAGTTAGGGTAGGAGTGCAGGGTCAGGTGCTTCCCTCCCGACATCAGGCTCTGTCCGTCCGGGCTCCACCTCAGAGCTACTACTGCTCCAGTGTACAGTGGATCTGAGTGGTGTTTTTAATCACTTTACTGAGTAATAGTGGGATGACCAGGTTATCAAACAACTTCCGTATTTGTGTGTAAGTAAACACTTGCTGCGCTTCATGTTTACACAAAGAAAGACACCTCATGCCCCGGGAGCACACAAGATTGATAAACTTACCGTTGATAGTATCCCTAGTAGTGAGTCTGGTGATCATATCCCGCTGCAGGAGGGACCCCCTTAGGAACCCAGGGGGTGCCTTCTGATACAACCTCTCGTGCAGCTGTCTTACCACGTGTACCTTCTTGTCATGTCTAGCTCTCTTTGAGTGATGAGTCACGTGATCATGGTGATGGAACGTGTTGTCAGGGTGATTAGAGACGTTGTCATGGCAACGCTCGGGAGAGTTTTCGTTGTAATCCTCGGTGATAGTTCCATCTAACATTCGTTATGTTGCCAAATATCGTGATATGTTGGAAACTTCAGAAACAGTTCGGGATGTTTTACATGGCTTGAAAATAAGTGTGTTTAGTTTTTATTTAGCTTACTTTAGTTGCTATTTAGCTTACTTTAGTTACGTTTTCATTAAAAATTATTCTGCCCACACACTATTAAATATAAGACCCTCTTAAAGAAAGCCACAATCTCAACAAACTCATTTACTGACTGTGTTAGCGCAAATAAACGAGAAATAACGTGAAATGTCTAGAATATCAATACATCTGCAAACAAAAAGGTTCATCATAATTAATACTTGCTATTTCTATTTTGATAATTTACAATCATTCAATTAACTAGTAAGATCCCAGAAGACAAATATAAAACCGTCTACAAATGAGGAATCTTAACCCTGACTGCACGAGGTTGCGTCTCATCTCTCAATGAAGAGTGCACAATAAATATATATTGTCAGAATTTTAGTTCGTAAAAGTAAAACCAGCCACGTGATAAATATCAATAAAAACGTGGTATTTTAAAAATCTCCGATTAAATTGAGTAAGAAGTATTCATGCTCCCGCCAAAAACATTGTGACCTAAAAATAAACTGGAATTTCTTCCAGGGACAACTTAAATAAATCAAATGAAATATTTCAGACTTGGCGTTGAGCAATATTTGGGGTACGCCACTAAGGCAGTACACTGCTGTATACTACTGCAGTTACCCTCAAAACAAGCCCAACAACATGATTTATAAAACCCTTGTATCTTGTGTTGTTGTTGCACGGCGGATCACATGAGTACTGCCTAACCTGTCCAACAACTCCACTAATAACGTAGGGCTTGTCATGTGATATCCCTACTAACAACTCCACTAATAACGTAGGGCTTGTCATGTGATATCCCTACTAACAACTCCACTAATAACGACCCCAATAAGTTAACCAAGCTAATCTATTTTAACTGCACTGTAGACGTATCTGACGAAGAGGAAGGAAGCGAAGAAGCCGACAGAGCCGGTGAATATGCCGAATGTAATGGACATTAGGGCTGTGTAACCAAGATACAGGACTGTAGACGTGAAACCAACTATCTCCAACTGTAATTAAGCGGTGTTTAAATTAATTAACTATTTCTTATATAGGTTATATTCAATAAGATAAAGCTATCACGCGAATTGTTAAAGATGAGTAAAAAATTAGTACAGTTTAATAAGAATAGTTTTGAATTTAAATGGAAATTACCTTGGTATAGTAGAAAAAGACCCCATAAGCGAAGACGTACAATCCAGTTCCAGCAGCAGAAAAGAAGGACTTCCACCACCATCTAAAGTTTGAATTTTTGAATTATTTATTTTCATTTTGAATTTTTTGTAGAAATATTAATGATGATGTGTGATGAACTTATATTTTAATTGGACAGAGATTAAAGAAATTAAACAAGTTCACATACTGAGACATTGACCTACTCAAATAATAGCAAGTATAGTTAACTAAACCTGTAATTAGTTAAATAATAAGTTAATTAAACCTGTAGTTCTCGGTACAAAGCTGGAAGTAGACGATCACTACAGCAATCTCCGCACAACATATCACCAGAATCACGTACACAAGGAACAGGAATGAGAACAGTGTGTAAATTTGGTTCTCCCAGATCGCCTGAGAAAGATGATTTTGAAAAGATGCTGGTTTGAAGTTGGCTGCTTCAAAGAAATTAGGAAGGAGTTCGATTAAATGATATAAAAGGCAACGCCTCACATGGTAAATTTACCACAGTTTACAATTAAAAGTGTAAACTGTGAACACCTGCAAGATTAGGGATAAATTACCAGAGTGATCATTTGTCAGTGTAGTGGTCCTTTGTAAACAAGAATCTAGGTAAACTATAGGTAAAAATATAATATTAATCATAATCTAAAATGTACTAATCTTTGTATTCTAAATGGGGAAAAAGAAGAAACATTGTCAGTCAGTCGAGAAAATTGTCAGTCAGGCTATATGGCAGCTTTGTAGATGTTGTGACTATGCTAGTAGTGGTCCCAGGCTTGCGACTGGAAGTGACTCGACGGAAATCTTCAAGACGCGCGCGCGGTTCGTTTTGCGGCGTAACTCGGATGGAGTTGGCATTGATTGATTACGTAAAAATAACGTCGCCGCGCGTTACAAAGAAGATACTTTTAACTGGATACAAGATAGTCAATGAACGGAAACGAGCAGATACAATCAAGGATAAGTTATCTTGTTCGGAGAAGACCATCCTAAGCTGGGCAATTTAAAACCGATTGAAACCATGTTTACATAGAAATTTGTATCGACTCAATATGTCACATAATCCCGCTACCAGGATCAGGATTGACGCATTTATTGTGCAGTATGAACAGTCCCCCCCCCCCCCCCCCCCCCCCCCCCCGGATATAGCAACAAGCATTACTTACGGAGAAGATAAAGTAAAGTTCGATAAAGACAGCCCCAAATGGAAGGATGCCAGCCAGCAGCATTGAGGGACCAGTTCTCATGTACCATAGTTGAGAGGGAATGGGGCGTGGTATTTTATTAGTGCGTACTGAATATTCATACGGCTGAAAAATAACAAGTTAATTAGTTAAATAAGAATAATGAGCGTGTCGGCATGCTATTAGATTCTGACGAGAAGTCGAATTGAAACATAAATTTTGAAAACTTCTGTCTTCTGAATGAAAATTTAATCTCCCTCTCTTATTGCCTTCAAATTTAAATTATTGTTTCTTACCTGTTTTCGGAATCCAAAGAAGAATCCAATAAAGACGAGTGGTAGAGAAACACATATCCAAAATGCCAACAAGGCACACATATAGGAAAATGGGACCTGAAGGAAAGAGTTATTTAACGCGCGCAAAATATATACAATGAAATTCGATAAAGAGACATGCGGACGTGGCCGAGTGGTTAAGGCGATTGACTAGAAATCAATTGGGCTCTGCCCGCGTAGGTTCGAATCCTACCGTTCGCGCAGTTGTCTTTTGATATATTTTTAGTCATATTAGAATCATATGATTATTTATAAATAAATAAAACTTAGTTTGTTAAAACCAATAAAAAACAAACTAAGTAGATTAAAAACAATAGCAATTGAACATTTTGATAAATAACTCACAGCGCCACTGCTACCAGCATGCCACAGCAGGAAGTTCAAGATGAAGCAAGTCGAGGAGATAAGCCCAGGATAGAGAGTTGCGGTGAGGAAGGAGGCTCGCTTCCAGGCTAGTCCTTTAAAGGTTCTGTACAGTCTACCAGAATAGTATCCTCCAATAACACCTGAACAATTACTGATTATAGGGAGATGTTGCACACAAGTAACCAGGTAATTTTATAATCACTGTCACGTGTCAAAGCAAACTTGGTCAGATACCAGCTTTTAAGCTAAATATTCTAATCATAATAAACATATCATTCAATTACTCATAACATCACGAATCAAACAATTTACAGATTATCTTCCATAGAAAGGTTATATTATGTAGCATAATATATTCGATGAACATCCTGAGTTTTTCTTCTCAACCAAAGAAAAATTTGGCAGCTTTAATATCACTTGCATATAAAAATAAAACCTACCAAAGAAGAAGAAAAGAGAGACCCCAGCTCCGATGAGACTGCCTCTACTAGCTGGAGACAGCATCCCCAGTACACTTAGTACTATACAGGCTAGTGCTGTGGAACCTATCTGTACACCACTACCTGGTTAAGTAATGTGTCAGAGTACACTATCAGTGAGAGGACAGCAAAGTTAAGTTTTTAAATCTGCAGAATATGTATTTTGCAGCAAATATTTTGTGCACAATACTATGTATATATCTTATATTTATTACAGTGACGTGTCAGATATCCGCCACATCATTTACAAGGTAAAGTTACATTCTTCTGAAGATATTTTCATAGGATTTAGGACCAACTTATTTTGAAGTTTTCATTATGAATTAGTTGGGCCTCCGAGTGCCACACAGTTCAGATATTTTTAAGTATGTAATATGTATAATATACATATTATGTAATGATGATTCTAATTCCTGATAAATCCTATTATAATCCTGACAAACGCCTGTCCCTGAAAGCAGTAGGATGTAAACTTGAGATGATGCAGTTTAAAATGTGTGTTAGGATATGTTTACACACGCACTAATTATACAAATTATATAATTATATTAGACACCTCTACAGCTCTATTGTCTACACTCTACAGTCTACAGGCTACACGTGTCAACCTCAGTATACAGCTTGGAACTATTTCCTAGTTTCCTAGTTAAATCTTATTATATATCAGGGTTAGTCGAGAACATACTGCAAATTATACACCCTGTACACTGCACACTGCGTAGAGCGAACTTACTGTTCCTGTATTACATGTCTAGCAAGTGAGGGGGTGGAGGCCGGGGGAGGGGGTGGAGGCCAGGGGGAGGGGTGGAGGCCGGGGCCCTCCCCTACATTACAGTTACCTCATCTCTCACGACCTACACACTAAACATGTACACAGCCTCCCTGCCATTACCAACATTGTGCTACACTATCAATACGTGCACACCTCTCCATGTAATGGGAACTTTGATGCACTGTGTACACTACTAATAAAATCTGACGTGGTGGCTAGAAGGAAAGAAAAGGAATCTTTTATAAATATCAGCAGTATTTAGTTTATTTAACAAACTGAATAGTATGATAAGATTACCTTATTCAATTGAGTACTCTAACTAGCGTCCTATATATTTATACATATATATATAATCTCAAATGTATTTATAATTCCACTTACTAACTCCTACAAATATATGCCACGTTTACACAAATATGTTTGAATATTATTGGGGGGGGGGTGTGTCATGTCCGTCTATGTCCGCCTATGTCCTGTCCTTTTTGGATTCTATGAGACAACGGACGTGTTTTTTGGGACATTGGCGGACACGGACGGACATTGGCGGACTCGGACGGACATTGGCGGACTCGGACGGACATTGGCGGACCCGGACGGACATTGGCGGACATTAGCGGACATTAGCGGACAAACATTTTGAGGACTGAAGAGTACTGAAGAGTACTGAGGAGGATGGCTGAGAAGGATGGCTGAGGAGGATGGCTGAGGAGGATGACTGAGGAGGATGACTGAGGAGGATGACTGAGAGGAGGAGAAGGATCAGGAAGACCCAGGAGGAGGAGGAGGAGGAGGACCCAGAAGGAGGACCTAGGAGGAGGAGGAGGAGAACTGAGGAGGATGACTGAGGAGGAGGAGGACTCAGGAGGAGGACTGAGGAGGACTGAGAAGGAGGAGGACTGAGGAGGATGGCTGAGGAGGATGGCTGAGGAGGATGACTGAGGAGGATGACTGAGAGGGAGGAGGAGGAGGACTCAGGAGGAGGACTCAGAAGGAAGAGGAGGAGGACTCAGGAGGAGGACTTAGGAGAAATGAGGAGAACTGAGGAGGAGGAGGAGGAGGAGGACTGAATACGAGGAGGAGAAGGAGGGGGACTGGGAGAAGACTGGGGAGGAGGAGGACTGATGAGAAGGATGAGGAGGAGGACCCATGAGGAGGAGGACTGAGGAGAAGGATGAGGAGGAGGACTGAGGAGGACTGAGGACTGAGGAGAAAGAGGAGGAGGATGAAGAGGAGGAGGAGGACCCAGGAGGAGGACCCAGGAGGAGGACTCAGGAGGAGGAGGAGGACTGGGGAGGAGGAGGACTGTTGAGGACTGATGAGGAGGACTGAGGACGGGGAGGAGGAGTAGGAGGAGGACTGAGGAGGGGAGGAGGAAGAGGACTGAGGAAGATCAGGAAGACCCAGGGGGAGGAGGAGGAAAAGTAGGAGGAGGAAGCATCTAAATGTTATTTCCATTTTTGTCCGTTTTTGTCCATTTTTGTCTGCTCTATTTTTTGTCCGTTTTGAAAATATCTAAGGGTACCGAACGGACAAAAAACATGATCCCTCTATAACAGCAAAAATTGAACATTTTATTTAGCAATTTAGGTGTCCATTAATGTCCGCCTATGTCCGCCTATGTCCGCCTATGTCCGTCTATGTCCGCCTATGTCCGCCTATGTCCGGTTATGTCCGCCTATGTCCGCCTATGTCCTGTCCTTTTTGGATTCTATGAGACAAGCGGACATAGACGGACGTGACACCCCCCCCCCCCCCCCCCATTATTACAAAGCAGAAACATCTAATCAACAAAAAATGTATTATGTAGCCGTTAAATCCTCTAACATCTATCAGTTGTTCAATGTACATTGTACCTACCTATAAGAGCCACTAGATTTGTGCAGAAGTTGGGTGGTCTCAGTACGTCTCCGTGTAGTAGCTTCCATCCTGTTTCCTCGTATGTATCATCCTGAACATTAGCAGGGTAAGTAAGTAAGTAAGTAAGTAAGTAAGTGAGTAAGTAAGTAAGTAAGTAAGTAAGTAAGTAAGTAAGTAAGTAAGTAAGTAAGTAAGTGAGTAAGTAAGTAAGTAAGTAAGTAAGTAAGTAAATAAGTAAGTAAGCAAGCAAGCAACTAGCAAGCAAGCAAGTAAGTAAGTAAGTAAGTAAGTAAGTAAGTAAGTAAGTAAGTAAGTAAGTAAGTAAGTAAGTAAGTAAGTAAGTAATTAAGTAAGTAAGTACTAAGTAAGTAAGTAAGTAAGTAAGTAAGTAAGTAAGTAAGTAAGTGAGTAAGTAAGTAAGTAAGTAAGTAAGTAAGTAAGTAAGTAAGTAAGTAAACTTAAGTAAGTAAACTTAAGTTAGTAAACTTAAGTAAGTAAACTTAAGTAAGTGAGTGAGTAAGTATTTAATTTACCATTTCCTCGTCCAGGTTGTAAGCAGCAATGTCTCTCCTGAGAGCACGCACCATTATCATAGCGAGTAGACCGGAGAGAAAGAGAACTATGATAAGAGAGTTAATAATACTGAACCAGTGAATCTGAGAGTTGGTAGCCGAGGTGAGGTAGGTGTCCCAGCGTGATGCCCAGGCTATCGTACCTTCCTGTAAGGTAGGAGTAGTAGTTACTTGTAATCTACTAAACAGTAAACACTACTAGTACACTAGTACACTAGTACACTAGTACACCAGTACAAGTTAGTTAACTAGTACACTAGTACATGTCAATCACAACACCAGTTTCATTAAGCAGTGTAGCGGCTTATAGCATAAGGGGTACTTTCACCAAATCAATGTCTAACGAAACGAATGATAAGATATGTATTATATAATTATTATATGCTTGCCTAGACCTACCTCCCATTCCACACTGTAGCTGAAGGCGAGGGTAGTTGATTTATCTTTAGTGAGGAGTAGTGGTGTGCCGTCCTGTGTACAGGAGTCAGTGCCAGCGTGACTGTTAGACTCAACCTGGGTAACAAAGTGAAAGTGAAAGTGAATCATATACCCATCATCCTTCTGAAGTGGAACCCATACGCCTAGTTTACTGGTAATAACGTGACAAATGTTTTGTGCAATTTTACGTGTGAAATATCTGACACTTACCTCAAATCCAGTTATTCTGAATTTGCCGGGCATGGAACCCACGTGGTACTTGATCTTGAAATGGAAGTTGTTGTACAGGTAAACGTTGTCCTTGTAAACTTGACCAACTTTGTGTCCTCTGTGATACAACTCCTGAAACATTTGGTTAGGTGAAGGTGAAGGATTCAATCTTTGGGTCAAGCTTCTAAATAAAGCTACATTAATTTCATAAACTGGATATCCCCACCCCTTCTACATCAACAATCAACATGCACTGAACAATACAGCCAATATGAACGTATCTTAGTTGAAACGTTGACAATTAAAAATTCAAATAAGGTGACCCTGAAAACGTACTATTTTGTTCTGGAAACTTACTAATTTTGAAACTTACTATTTTCCCATCAGGAGATGAGTATTTCCGAGCCACAGGAAGGTTATCTAGGATCAGGTGAACATCGTAATCCTTCTCTATCATATCTATAATCCTGTTTACCTCTGCGGAGGTGCTTTACTTTAAATATTTATTTAATAAATAAAAAGTATAGAAAAAAACGTATTCCGAATCGTAATAAGTCTAGACATAGTTAGTAGGGAGCCGATGCTACTGAAGTAAGTTGCTACTGAAGTAAGTTGCTACTGAAGTTAGTTGCTACTGAAGTAAGTTGCCACTGAAGTAAGTTGCTACTGAAGTAAGTTAGTTAAACTATATTGAGTTGAGTTAAAATATAAAACAGACAATAACCTACCTTTAGGCATGAGAGCTACCATGCACACTTGAGTACAAGGTGTAGTCTGCATTACATTCACTGTATACGCAGTGTTTACTATTCTGCTGCCGTGCAAAACCTCGCCTAGATAAACATTGTTACATTTTTACATTGTTACATTTTAAAATTGTTACATTGTTACATTGTTACACTGTTACATTGTTACATCTTAATGTTTATATCGGATAGTTCACAAAAACTAGTTCAATTATTGACAGGTATTTTCTCAAAACGACGTGAAAGAAAAGCAATAAATTTGAGAATTTAAAAATGAGACCGAGAATATTTAAACAAACCTAAGTTCTCAGCAAAGTTTACTTCTTTATTGGGTAAACAGTAAGGTAGTTTACGGTAACTAAACGGTAGCTCTGTGTGTACACTCTCTACTTGTGTCGACTGTGGGGAGGCGACTACATTAGTACATTGTACATAAGTATATTTAATTTGTACATTAGTACATTGTACATTAATAAATTAGTACATTAGTACATATGATCAGTTATCTTGCTACAAGTTTAATGGAACTTGTTGCAACTTATGAATCGGTTAATTTGATTCTGTTTTGTTAAAATTACACACATATTGGTGATTCCTTTACTTCTAAAGAGGGAACTAGATTAATTGGGGCTAACCTTGATCTCGATGGTTTGTCCTCTGCTGTATTCCACAGGGGCAATAAGGGGAATGTAGAAGGAAGACACTCCAGAGAGCAAAAGGGAGAAGACCACCCAGAACATGCTAGTAGTAGCTAGAAACGCTGTGTTACCTGTCTTTAGCAGGTAGTTAGTTACATCACGTACATCCTAATAGAGTAATTAAAACTTAAAGTAATCGCCTTTGTGGCTGAAACATTCGGTTAGCTTTATTTTGCCTTACAATTTCATCTTTTGTAATAGTACGATGGTACACAGTTTTAATTTAAGTAATTAATTTAATTCAATGTGAGCTCAGAGCTGGTCCAAATTAGAGACACCATCATTTATAGTATTCCATTACTATAATAATTGTATTGTCACTAACTACTGACTGGGAAATTAACTCTTTTAGTGTTGTTAATTTGTTTATTTATATCACTAACGATTTATCATTTAACGTTTCCAAGGGATCAGTAAATACCAGGCTTGATTTTAAGAATACATTTTTATAACACTAAAACAATCAAAAACATGTAAAATCAAGCACCTGTTACTACATATTATACCGAAAATGATATTCAACATTTGGAACCTCTGCTTTGGAATAAATTATTGTAATATTGTATCTAGAACATCATATTGAATACTGTAATTTTAATTCTATAGTTTTTATCATCTGATTGAACTAACATAAATATTTAAAAGGATTGATATTTTTCTTAATAGTATTCATAATTATACACAAAAATTAAAATAAATACTAATAGACAGTATTTAAACAGAATTTTAACCAAATTTAACATAACAATCAATATGAATCAATATGAAACAATGATAATATAATCAATGACTAAGATAGCAATATAATAGGTATCCTTAAACTGCTATATCATACAATCTCTTACAATTAGCACAGCTAGGAATATTCTTTAACTTTGATCAGGCAAGTTCTTTATTGGTGGTGGATTCTTTGTTTCATCAGCCAGTTTGAAGCCAAATATTTTAGAGTAGAAATAAATCTCATTTGAAATGCACCTTTGTATATTTACAGCTTTTCTAAATCCGTGAGCCTCGCCCTCATACTCCACATAAAATGTAGGAACTCTATTTTCCAGGGCAGCATTGTACAACTCTTTAGACTGTGGTGGAGGGCACACAAAATCATCTGAACCTTGGAAGAACCCAATAGGACATTGCAGCTGGCTAGCATGGCACAAAGGTGATCTTTCTTTGTAGATCTTTTCATCTTCAGGGAGTTTTCCTATCATCTTGGTCAGATATTGAGACTCGAATTTATGGGTATGCTTTGCTAATCCTAAGAGATCAGAAACTCCGTAGTAAGAAACTCCAGCATGGAAGTATTTTTTGAAGACCATCATAGCCATGGTTGTGTAGCCTCCTGCACTTCCTCCATCAATACTCAATCTGTTTCCATCAACTATCCCTTCATTTACTAGATGCTGGGCTGCAGAAATGGCATCTTCTATGTCATACACTCCCCATTTACCATAAAGAGCTTGTCTAAAAGCCCTCCCATATCCAGAACTACCTCTGTAGTCGAGATCAAAGACAGCAAATCCTCTTGAAGTGAAATATTGTGTTTTCATACTTAAACTTCTCATTGCCATTCCAGTTGGACCACCATGAACACGTAAGAGAAGAGGTGGCTTTTCTTTTTCATCTGGACTGAAATCAGGATTTTTTGGTCTATAAAGAAAGCCATAAGCATTCATATTTTTGTCGGTAGTTGGGAACTCAACTGACTCTGCGTAGGATATGTATGGCATCAACTCTTTTTCAGCTGACTCATTATTGTAAATGTAAACAGAATCATCCTTCAATGATACTCGAAGAAGAGTGAGAGGATTAGCAGGGTCATCAATACCAAGGGCATAAACATAATGGCCATGACAAAGAACATTGGTAAATGTTCCAAATGAGTAGCCTTTGCTCCTGATCAATTGACCCAGATCTTTTAAGATTGTCTGAGGATTATCAATATCAACAAACAGAAAATTATCCATGCCATCTTTTGACTTTGCTCCAATAACAATTCCATCATTAGTTATACCATATCCAGGATATCCAAAACACCAACCAAAAGGGAACCCTGGTTCATTGTTGCTCTTATACCAGGGCTTGGTTTCATCAGATGACTTCCATACATTCCAAAAATCGGTTCTGTCACTAAGGTACAGATATTCATCTTTGTTAATGAACCTACTCTGCAAATGAGATGCACCAGTTGATACAATCTTAACATTTTTAGCTGAAGCAACGCTTCCCTCCATCACCAATTCCCCAACACTCATCTGTGTATCATCCCAGGGCATATTTGGATGGTTCCAGGAAACAAATATGATTTTATTTTCGAAAGTATCAACACTTTTGTAGAAATCAGCACCCTCCACCAATACATTTTGGCTGCCAGTCAACAGATCTATGGCAACAATGGTATTGATACATTCCTTACCTTCAACTCGGTGATCTTCTCGGACACAAACAATTTTATCAATGAAAGTGTTGATATGACCTTCAGCATAGCGTACCTTACCATCACCAAAATCTGCTGTTACAGGTACTGGGGTAGCATCAGGGGCACTTTGCTTGTAGATCCGCTGATCAGATTTATTGACAAAGAAAAGTTCCTCATTGTGGACAAAGAATGCACCTCCGCCATACTCATGTACTCTGCTTACAACACTAAAACTTTCAGGGGTCCACTCAATAGCCGAGCTTGCACTTTCACCAGTGCTAACAACAAATTGGCCGGTTGGTTTCTTTGATCTCCAAAATAACTTTCCTGTCACCCTGTCTATTGCTGCAGTGGAAATCTCAGTTGCATCAGGTGTTACAACATCCAATGTAATTGGTGATTTCCATTCACCGTAACTCATTCCTGTAATTAAATGTATTGAATACCTTTCTTATTGATTGAGTTAAACAATGACGAAATAGGTCAAAAGGATTGATACAAACGATTGATAGTCTCCCTCTTTCGACCATTCTGAATTTCCTTATTTCTCTCTTTATTTCTAGGTCATGAAATATCATTATGAGGAACTTAACTCGATTATGTTTTAATTTTATTACTAGGTTACACCACTGCATAATTCGAAAGCACTCCAAACACCACCAGTACAGAAGCTTAGATACGTGAAAAGACGAAAATGGGTCTTGGTTATAAAGGCACATAACGTATCCGCTGATGGCTGAAGCAGTCGGTTGAGATATCCATGGGCTCATTGACGTTATTCACTTTTAAACTGGATCATCTAGACAAATACCGGTGGAAATGAGGTTGAATGAGATGAAGTCATGTTTACTGGGCAATAATCTTCCTCAGCACTATAAACGTGGAATCTATTTAGTCCGACTAAATAGCTTAAACAGGAAAGATTAAACCATACATACATTTACATTTACAACAATGGTAAAATATTTTTAGATTAGATGTAAATTATTCAAACAATATACACATAATTGTCACAATGACCCTATATAAAAACAACCTTTCAAAAAATCAATATTTTCCCTATCTCAAATATTGGGAGAAAAATTTGAATATCAACCTTTGCCTTGTGGCTCCAAATTCAAATCTAAACTGTTTATATCAACAAAGTTCTTTCTTGCACCTCTGTCCCCCCGTAGAGAAATCACTGTTGTTCTTAGGATTTCGAAACGAAGGCGCTTTCTAATTATCCAACAGCATCTGAATACCTTTGCCCTATGTGGTATTCCATCTTGCTAGCAAGCTTCTTTACTAGTCTTTCAGCTTCACCACCCATTCCACCAGATGTTGAGAAAACTAACGGCGTGAAGCTTCCTTTCTCTACTTCCAGAACCCTTGCATTGTAACACCTTTTCTTCTCATTTTCATGGGACTGGTACATTGCTCAGCAATGTCATTGCTGGGATTTGACATACGTTGCATGCCACTTTTCGCGCTCGAAGCCGAAAGCTGGGATCGATTTGCTTGCATTGGAGGGGGCTCCCTTTGGTAACTCTAGGCCATCAACTGAAAGAAGAACTGGCTCAGTCTGCACATCCTTGTATTTCACAGTGGTAAAAGATTTGCTGTCATACAAATACAAATGATATAGTCGAACTATAAACCTTACCAATCTTATTTAAGCACCAAAATTAATCCATGCTATTTTCTGTGAGTACAAATGACAAAGTTGACACTATATTATCAAAGCCGGCCTTGTCATACGTTGTATGACCTGCTTGTCATACGTTGTATGACCCGCCGCGCACGAAGTGCGCGGCTCCCCCTGTATCGTGAAACGACCGTGGGGGTCGCAACGTGATACAATGGTCAATGACCCGCCGCGCACAAGTGCGCGCGGCTCCCCCTGTATCGTCGAAACTCTATACTATAGTGAAGCTAAGCGACAGTGGGGGTCACCACGTGATACAAAGCCGGCCACCATATATTTTGTAAGGAGACCTCGCCTCATAAATAAATCGAGAGCTCAAATTGACTTCTTTACCCGTAAATCATAAGCACACAATGAAAAGTTTATTATTGCCCACTTCAGGCGGATACCTGATTTATATTTGTTAATTGGCTATTTTAGATTTAATAATACATAGAATAAACACATTTATTGTTTTACGTTAGATAATGTATTAGATTTTATTAATTAATCAAATTGAATTTGATAAATTATTAATGTTGATGGAAAAATATATTTATTTAAATTATTTTTTATTTAGTGCAATGATATTTTGTAGACACTTGTGATGATGTTATGTCATAATCTTTATTTACTTACTTACTTACTTACTTACGTTAAATTTTAGATTGGTAAATGTTTTTTATCATACATACACTTAACCATGAGCCTTCGCGTGCTACGTTGTACGTGACGCACTTGTTTCGTTGCAAGCACGAGGGCTCTGGTTAGATAAAGAGTGAAAATAAAAAGGGTAGTTTTTGGGCTAAAAATTAATTTTACCTAAAAAACAAATGATTCCAATTGCGCAGTGGAGCGAAAGCACATGGTTAGGTGAAGATTATATTATACATATACATGCGCCACTACAAGCGCTCTGGATAAAGCAAAACGATGTTTACTGGGCCGGCCGCGCTCAGCCTGTCATTTCGCCAAATCTTTATTATGTTAATGAATATAATAGCCTGGGGTCCTCAGGTAAAACGATGTTTAACAGGCGATGATCGTAAAATATTTGTTTCAACTCGGCGCGCGTCCTGGTAGGTTATAAACCTACAAGATTGACATCGTGAATCAATATTTTGCCCCACATTGCACACGTCACACCTTCACATAGCCATGCGCCTACGCGTACTGCGTGACGCGCTTGTTCATTGTTTCACAAGTAGCGCGGTCGCGCGCTACTGCAAGCGAGAGGGCTCTGGTTAGAGCAACGTCACACCATGCAATGGTATTTGTGGTGGTCGCACGCTATTGCAAGCGTGAAATGAGTCTGGTTAGAGATGAGCAATTTATGCTAAGGTCTTTCTAGTTCTTGAATAATTACAATTAAAATCCTTGGCGTGATTTAGTGTAACCGCTATTCGTTAGCAGTTAGAAAAGGAAAAATAACAAAGCGCCGCGCACACGTGCTGCGCTATAAGGGATGTCAACGTCAACTTTATACACAAAACTAGAGAAATATAAAGGGTTCGGATGTCAGTGATTATGACAATATGGCGCGTCACGCGTGCGCGAAGGAGCATAAGCTTCATTTTCCGGTTGGTCGACCCTTTTGAAAAGAGGATTGATTTGGTTTAAAATTGTCCCCCAGGCCCTATGTGGCTTCAATCGTAGGGTTGAACGATTTATGTGGCTTCTTTAGACACGAATAGGAGACAGTATGTCGCTTCATTGTAAAAATAACATGAATATAATAATTTTGCGAATACATGTGTCATGTGGCATGTCCACATGTGAAAACCCAAGACGACTTCTAATTACTAAATAAATTTAACTTTCTTTCCAATCAAATAATTTACTACATAATCACAAGATGGGATAATGGGACTAAAAACATTTTACTTTTCAAATCTTTTGAAAAACGGACTCTCCCAACACTGATTGTAAATTAAACCAATGAAATCAACAATAGCATTTAAATTTAATAAACTTGTAGTCAGTCATTACAGAATTCGCGGACAGTGGTTCCCAGGGAATCTAAAAAATAAGAATAGCAAATAAAATACAAATTTAGGATACAAAGAATGGGGTGAGCTGATAACAACTATAAAGCGTCATAATTTTCAGGAATAGAAAAGATTTTCTGGTTTACAAATTTTGAACGACTATAAATAATCTTTCAATAGCATATTAATTAACATAGCCTAATTTAAAAATTGTTTCCATATTTTACTCTGCTTCAATAGATGTCAGAACAGTTGCAGTTAATTAAACACACCCGTTTTGACCTATTCCAGTAGCAACGTATAAATAGTCAAACCATGATTTATCGAAAGAGCCCTCAACAAACCAAGTATTGACTGTAAGCACTAAGCATCATAATATCACGATCAAACATATCAGAGGTACACAATTTTTTGCTTTTTTGCGTGAAAATATTGCAAAAATGTTCAACCCCCACTAATCAGTGTCAGTCCTGCTGAGAAAACAAAACAATTCAACACAGTAATTTTTATTAATAAACAAACCACAAATAATAACCTAGTGTTCATGCGGCAACTAGGTTAGTGAATTTATTCTGATCACTAGTAAGCTAGTTTCCACTCATTTTAACGGCTCTAAAAACATCCATGCTCTTCCAAATTTTCCGAACCAACCTTTTAAACGATGTATCATACAAATTAACTGATTAAATCAAGTATTTTCAGAGCGTATAAAAACCCACTCAGTGAAAGCAGGATTAATGAACGAATAGTGTGACATTGGGTTCTCAACCATGGAAATTTAAAAGTCTCTGCATGCTGTTCTTTCTGGCTCCATGTGCTAGTTAGGGGTCTGAGGTATCCGAAAAATTATGTTTTGAGTACCCAAAGTGTTCTGGGTGCCAGGAATGAGGTTATTAAAGCGGCGAAAATGACCGGTTTTGGACTATTTATGAGCTTTTTTGCCCATTTTCATGAGATAAAGAATCAGGAAAGCTGCTCTTGATGATTGAAATGGTTGATACCAATGAGGATACACCCAACACACATAAATATACGTGATATATGTGATTTTAATGAGAAAAATATGATCTCAGGGCCCATTTTATACCAAAATTTGCCAAAACCACTCGCACTTGTCAAAGCTTCCTCATTTTAGACACATTTAATGATTATTATGGTATCTAACTTATGGTGGATCTGATAGGAGTATGTCTTAGCTTCATTTTAAGCCATCAATGAGCATGCTGGTGTGCATGAAAGTACTTTAATCCTCCCGTCCATTGATCATATAGTATGGGCCATGCGCGCGCGCGCGCGCTTGTTACAAGCTTGAATTTTCTTCCTCAGTATCTATCTAAAGCTTTTAAAGACATGATTAGAATGCTATCCTACTCAGCACATGAGTGCTACAAGATGGTGAAAGAATTTCCATGAAAAATCATTAAATGTGGAAGATATGAGGTCATATGTGTGTGCGCGCGCGCGCGCGCGCGCGCTTGTTACAAACTTGACATCCTCAGAACTTTCACATTTACTGAGATTTTGTTTCAAACTTAATTGACTCTGAACCGAAATTGCCAGAGGAAACAGATAGTGTAACTCAGAAAGACCACAAATGGATAGTTTGTGAGATATTGAGGTTATACTCCAAAAAATTTACAATGATGTCACACCAGAAAACCCCTATTTTTGGTATATTTAACCTCATATCTCGAACGCGCAGTACTGGATTGAGCTAAACTTGGTCAGGTTTTGTAGCCCTGACTATCCTCGATCATATGGAACAGGAATAAAACTGTTCAGATGTTATATCTTAATTATATTAGGCACTTAGTTCTGAAAAGTGAGAATGTCATTAATACTGCTTTCACTGCACTTCAAATTTTGAAGTCTGAACCAATTAAACCAACGTCAAATGTGGAATTTATCTGAAATTAGCGTCTCCTCTATAGGAATAACGAGGCAGGATAAAATGCCCAACAATATGCCCGGCAAAACCTCCCCCGCTCCTTCACCACACTTTAATCACATGTCTCAACAGAACGTTTCATATTTTGTAGTACTTCTTCTTGCAGTCGAGGTAGAAGCCGACTAAGAGCCAGCAGGCAGTCCCGACCACAGACTGCAACATGAGGGCCCCGTGTGATTGGGATGTGGCCCAGTTGAAGGGGAAGTAGGAGTACACTATGTAGGAACCAACGTACAGGAACAGCGGGTTCTTTCCTGGAAACGTTATACAGAGATTATTAGAGATAGTAACCCGTAAAAACAACTTTCTTGAGATTTCATCCTCGACTCTCTACCTCACGTTCAGTAGACAAACGGATTAAATGAGAGAGACACTGGACTGGATAGTGGTCACAAAAAAACAAAATAAAAAACAATTAATTAATTAGATGTATTACCGGCTGAGTTGAAAGGAGCCCCGCACCAAATGTGGAAGAAGTCTATCATGAGATACATGATAGCCAGCACGAAGTAGGCTGAGGCTGAGGTAATCGCTACAAACGACACGCTCCTGAGATATTATAGGAACCTGGTTACTTTCAAGTTACTATCTAGTTACTTTAATATTACTATCTGGTAACTATAGCTACTATATTATGGTAACTTGTGTATTTAATCTAGTAGCTGTGGTCAACACAGCCGTTCTTCAGCGGATATATATTCAACTTTAAAGGAATGCAATAATTCGATCAGAGCAGCATGTCAAACTACATCTAGTAATATAACGCTACGTGACTCAGTACTCACCACGTGACTCAGTACTCACCTCGTGACTCAGTACTCACCACGTGACTCAGTACTCACCACGTGACTCAGTATTCACCACGTGACTCAGTACTCACCACGTGACTCAGTACTCACCACGTGACTCAGTACTCACCTCGTGACTCAGTACTCACCACGTGACTCAGTACTCACCACGTGACTCAGTATTCACCACGTGACTCAGTACTCACCACGTGACTCAGTACTCACCACGTGACTCAGTACTCACCACGTGACTCAGTACTCACCACGTGACTCAGTACTCACCACGTGACTCAGTACTCACCACGTGACTCAGTACTCACCACGTGACTCAGTACTCACCACGTGACTCAGTACTCACCACGTGACTCAGTACTCGCCACGTGACTCAGTACTCACCACGTGACTCAGTACTCACCACGTGACTCAGTACTCACCACGTGACTCAGTACTCGCCACGTGACTCAGTACTCACCACGTGACTCAGTACTCACCACGTGACTCAGTACTCACCACAAGTTCTTGTTGATTGGGACCCATCCTCCGGTTAGAGTTCCCTTACTCAGGATCAGTCCGATAGCCAGCTGAAATGTTACATTTGGAGGTGTTACATTTGAGTGTGGGGCTCAATGGAATTACTTTATTGAATGTCTAGGATGTTGAAATTTTGAAATCATCAAATAAATTGTTAGTTTCCGGACAAAAGAATTTCCTTGGCTCCGAACGTTAAATAAGTTATAAAATTATATTTGTGATGTAATGCTACATTCTTGCTTTTATTTAGGTGGTTAGGTTATGTAGATTAAATTACACATAATATCACAACTAATAGAAATGGTGTGACTCATTATTTGCTTCAGTTAGATCTCATTATATATTATACTGGCCTCCTAAAACTAGTAGTATCAGGTGTTATGTCAGCTGAACACGTGGTATGTCAGCTGACAAGTGCAAAGTAGCGACAATATTACTAAAGTAATAAACTTCAATCCCACTGGGAATCTATTATCTAAAAACTTTATACTTGATACTGTACTGTTAATTGTAATGATAAGCGTTAAGTGACGTTTGATATGAGATCTACAAGTTAGCAATTGAGCAATGGTGGTATTCAGCCACAGTATTGATACTGTATTGTTTCTAATAACCATATTCTACCAGACAATTTCAACTTTAAACTTTCTAAAACTTGTGATAATTTTCTACATGGTGAGTAACGAAGCTTATCAAATTGGACTCTTGTTAGGGTACTAGTTTCTGGTAGCCAGTGGTTAGTACTGGTTTCTGGTAGCCAGTGGTTACTGGTTTCTGGTAGCCAGTGGTTACTGGTTTCTGGTAACCAGTGGTTACTGGTTTCTGGTAGCCAGTTGCAGTGGTCACTGGTTTCTGGTAACCAGTGGTTACTTGTTTCTGGTAACCAGTGGTTACTTGTTTCTGGTAACCAGTGGTTACTTGTTTCTGGTAGCCAGAGGTTACTGGTTTCTGGTAACCAGTGGTTACTGGTTAGCGGGTCAGGTGTTAGTGACCTGTCAAACCACACATGTGTAATTCTTGTGTAACTTCCTATCACGTGTCCAATCCCTCCAGAGCTACATGCTGTACTCCAGAACATGTGACCTTGAAATGGAGGAGGGGGGGGGGGGCTTCAGTACGACCACTCAATTTATGCGGTTACATTGCCGTAGAAAGTCACTTTTTGCACGATTTCCGCGGTTAAATTATAAAATAAGTGCGAGTAGCGGAGTGTACTGAAATACTCAATACATGCACAGTACTTGAACAAACAAAGATAGCGGATGTAACCATGACAACGGGGGAAGTAAGAGCACTTCATATTATTGTTAGAGGGTGAGCACACTGTGTACTGTGTGAATATTAATGTGTCACGCTATGGGACTGTGTGAGGAACTATACCGGACAAGTTGGGTATACTTCATGTATTCAGGACTTGAGGTACAACTTTACATAGGGAGGCCAAAAATTAAGTTCTTCTAAGAAGACAGGTCTTCTGACCGAAATGTTGAAGATAGAACAGTTTTGTTAAATGTAGTTTTAAGAACTACAAGTAAAATAGTTTAACTTCACTGTGTACGAACTATGAAATAAAGTAACCCGTTCTATTGTTATATTTTACTGGTAAGTAGTTTAAATAATCCTTTAAACACCAGCTCTTCTAATGTATTTCCATTGACTGGGCTGGTTAGCTTGCATATTTTACATCTGATACTGTTTATTGTTCAGGGTGGGGTAAGGAGCTTTAGTTCACTAAGGTAGGGGGGCCGGGGGGGGGGGGGGGCATTCAGATAGGGGGGGGGGGGGGGGGCACTCAGACAATAGTTCACTCAGACAGTAGACTTTATAGTAGGGTTTATATTAGAGATAAGAGTATTTCAGTAATTCAGTAGTAAGCAGAGTGAAGAAGCTCCAGCACTCAGGTACCCGTATCTCACATAGCTAGGTACCCGTATCTTACATAGCTAGGTACCCGTATCTTACATAGCTAGGTACCCGTATCTTACATAGCTAGGTACCCGTATCTTACATAGCTAGGTACCCGTATCTTACATAGCTAGGTACCCGTATCTTACATAGCTAGGTACCCGTATCTTACATAGCTAGGTACCCGTATCTTACATAGCTAGGTACCCGCATCTTACATAGCTAGTGCAGTCTTCATATTTATCAGTATTCCGGAGCCGTTTATAAGTTTATAACTATGTTACGTGTTTATAACTGTGTAACTAGTAAAGTAACAATAATGGAGACATTCCCTAGATTTTTAGATGTTGTACAGTTAATAAATAACAAATCAAACACGAGGAAAGGGTATTATTTTCTGCGACCTCAGGGGCCAATTTGACAAAACAAGTTGTGTGGTAGCTAATTAATGTACATGATAATGTACAGTACACTGTACAGCCTAGCACGTGCAGTGTAGTTGAGGAAATTAAGTGAAGATATTGCCAGGAATGATGGTGGTTAGTACTACACTTACCAATACCAATACACACACTCTCTCATACTGACATACTGCCTACTGGTTCACAGTGCGTGTTTTTAATGTACTATTTTTTCGTGTGCACAAAATACTAGTTAATTAGGTGCATGATATAATGATATATTTATCACTAAATTGTTACTGCATCGATTCACCCCAACAGTTTGGGTATGTAAGAGCTGACATTTATTTTAGAGCTGATATTAACTTTATGAATAGTATGCTAAATGTCAAAGATCGTAAAATATTTGTTTTTGAGACAATAGCTTTGTAAAGCTATTGTCCCAAAAACAAATATTTGAGTATTTGGTAAGATCTTACGATAGATAGAGAGATATTGTCAGTATAATATCTGCACCCGTCACTACACAAGATACCGCACACAATAACCTTGTAGAGGAGTTGTCGGTGGAAGTAGGTGGAAAGTGAAATGTTAATAATTTAACTGCACAGCAGTAAGAGTGAAAGTAAAATGTTAATAATCTAGCTGGACAGCAGTAAGAGTAATTAAGTGAAATGTTAATAATCTAACTGCACAGCAGAAAGAGTGAAAGTGAAATGTTAATAATCTAACTGCACAGCAGTAAGAGTGAAAGTGAAATGTTAATAATCTAACTGCACAGCAGTAAGGGAATGACAGGATGTCCTCGTATCTGTGTTAGTACTATACTACTAGTGTTACTGGTGTGCAAACTGCAGACAGTAAACACTAAACTTGTACTGTAATCGGAAAGTAACATGCGTTAACATAATACACTGGTGAAGCGTAAAGTTGTTGAGTATTATGCACTCTTAGTGTTGTGAAAGTTAATCTTTTAAACTTCATCTGCAATTATACAGTGAAGAAAGCAGTAGAACTAGTAGCTTAGTACACAGAGCTAACTCTCTACACGTCTTAATATAGTGTCCTGTACGGTCCTCGTTAAGTTAATAACGCACAGATAGTGGTTGTGAACTACAGACTGCAGTGGCTGAGTGTAACGGTAAACCCGGAACTTGTAGTGGCAATTAACCTGTATACACATTACACACCTGTGTACACACTCAATACATCACACCAATTACAGGGTGTAATTGGAAATACACCAAGTTATAAGTGCCCAGTAAGCTACATACCACGTGCAATAGTGCAATACCCCGCCCCATTTCATGTTTTAATTAATTGAGATACGCTCATACCTACTTGACACTTTAACGCGCGTGTTAAACGGAATTTTCTTTAGGATTTCGGTGAGAAAATACAGCAGAACTGCATTACAAAAGTAAGATAAAACATTATCAAATCTAAAGAGTAAGTCAGATAAGCTTACCGATACAACACTCAGCACAGAGAGAGCCCCGACTGTGGAACCACGTGATGATTTGAGCATAACAACAATGTGTCCCGCTACAACACCACTATAGACCGTGAGAACAGCTGTCAGAGAGCCCAGGATACCTTCTGGGTCGTGGGCTAGTGTCGTGTGGTACATCGGCTGAAATACAGCAGCTCTATCATCACATAATGTTGAAACTGGAAAAGAAAAAGGTTTTCTGGCGTCTGTTATTATCATGGGTGAGTTAGGCTCTCCTAGAACTATAACTAACCTTGCAGGTAGGATGCTGGCCTCTGTTAAGTGTTAATGGGCGAGGTAGGCTCTCCTAGAACTATAACTAACCTTGCAGGTAGGATGCTGGCCTCTGTTAAGTGTTAATGGGCGAGGTAGGCTCTCCTAGAACTATAACTAACCTTGCAGGTAGGATGCTGGCCTCTGTTAAGTGTTAATGGGCGAGGTAAGCTCTCCTAGAACTATAACTAACCTTGCAGGTAGGATGCTGGCCTCTGTTAAGTGTTAATGGGCGAGGTAGGCTCTCCTAGAACTATAACTAACCTTGCAGGTAGGATGCTGGCCTCTGTTAAGTGTTAATGGGCGAGGTAGGCTCTCCTAGAACTATAACTAACCTTGCAGGTAGGATGCTGGCCTCTGTTAAGTGTTAATGGGCGAGGTAGGCTCTCCTAGAACTATAACTAACCTTGCAGGTAGGATGCTGGCCTCTGTTAAGTGTTAATGGGCGAGGTAAGCTCTCCTAGAACTATAACTAACCTTGCAGGTAGGATGCTGGCCTCTGTTAAGTGTTAATGGGCGAGGTAGGCTCTCCTAGAACTATAACTAACCTTGCAGGTAGGATGCTGGCCTCTGTTAAGTGTTAATGGGCGAGGTAGGCTCTCCTAGAACTATAACTAACCTTGCAGGTAGGATGCTGGTACATGTGACTCCCCCAAACCAGTCTGTCAATGTAACCAGCAGCTCCCCCGGTACAGTTCTCTAGTAACCCTCCGTCAGCAATCCCTCCTGGTCCTACATATCCTCTGAAAATAGGTGTGACGTCACTACTGGCAACATGACGTCATCCTGTAATTCTTACTTACATCTCAAACTAACAGACACAGGACAGTCGCCTCGTGTTGAAGCGAAATAATATTACACAATGTTACATGATATTAGCATACAGTGTGAGTTGACATGTGTCTGTAAAACACGCTGTGTCAATGTGTTTATGATGACTGCCAAATTTCGTTATTCCACTAAAGGCTATTTCGTGGAAAATTAAAACTTATTTTCATTTGAACTTGATGGTTATGATAGCAAATGATGGCAGTAGAACATTGAAGATGTTGTAACTTTTGATGAATTTTTGAGCTATACTTTGATACAAGTTACAATAACGTAATAATAAAGGAAGGTTTAAGAATTTAATGATCGTTAAAATGAAATTAACTCCACACACCTGAAGAGTAAAGAGGAACTATGCACTAAATATGCACTAAATACAAGTAACTACTCACGTGGGACAGCCTGGTATGGGTAGAATGAAGGTGATAACACACCAGAGGGCTGTGAAGAGAGAGATAACAATATACTGGGGCCACGTGTGGATCAGCAGGTTGCTCAGCCAGCCCTGAGGGGGTAATTAGTTAATTAGTTAATTAGTTAATTAGTTAGTATACTCATTACCCGGCAGCAGGTTTATTTGGGAGAAGTTTCATGAGAAAGTAATGTTTACGCAATTCACTAAATATATCCCAGAGTATTAGGTACGTGAAATGCAGTGTTAAACAGATGTCACCATACTGAGAGAATATATTAGCAATACTGGCACATTATTGGTATTAGTAATGTACCAGATGTGACTAGGATATCAAATATCTGGGTTTTAAATCTCACACAATATGGTACATTCAGGGGCGGTCATCCTCATTCTGGTATTTATCCAATAAAATCACGAACATTAATATTTATTTAATAATCGAAAACTCTTCGCCACGGAGATGACGACATCACCGCCAGATCACAAGTTATTAAAATGTTTCTACTGAACACTGTGATTACGTGATACCATCTGACACCTTGATTTCTTATCAGCAAACTGATTATATTTCAATTACCAGAATTGACACTGATACTAGCAGAATTGACAGTTTTCCGAAGAAGTTACACTGACCCTTTGGGAAATTATTGATAATCGACAGCGAATCATTGAAATTCCATTATAATGCTTTGAATAATAATCATTGAAAAGTATATCAGATAGATACCACATCCACACAAGGTATTGATGACTACCACAATAATGTAGTGTAGAATAGTAGTAATACAACAACGAGGTGAAGTAGTAGAAGTAGCGTATTAATCAAGATACAGCTGCAGCATCCCCAAATTAATAATATTATCATTATTCATATATCATGTTCAGCTTTCTTTCTGAATTTAACATTCACAATCTCCCAGTGGATAATTTTACCAACACAATAGAGGAGAAGCTCCGTACAGCAGACTAAAAAGTAATATTCTGATTAATCTGGTGACAAAATAGCCATCACAATAAGTTTTGTGAAAGTTTCCTAGTCTCCAGCGACTGCTAAACTACAATACAAGCAGTCTCGACAATATCTAGTATGCTCGTCCATTTCACTCTGAAAATAATGCTAATTTCTCATTATGTTTTTAGTTTTATTCTGTACAACTTCACCCTGTTAACATTAACTTCTTTTTAAAATCACGGGCCACACTCAGTAAACAGTACATTGTTGGAATATTTGTTTCTGTAGTATATTTCCCGTAAGTTGGCTGTCTAAGAGCTAGCTTGCTAGGTTCGTCATGTTGTTGTTGTCTGTCTAGACCTCCTAAAAGGGATGAAGAGCCGTCGGCTAACAACCAGGAAATGGAGATCAGAGCCCCCTTACTACTACTAATACTACATCACAACTACTATAATATATATTAATGATGTGTGTCTCTCCTAAAAACACCAGTATCCTATAGGAGTACCCAGGAGGGGCTAGTATAGTTATTACCCTGCTTACCGTGTATGTCTGTTCTTAATCTGTTCACGACAGTGTAGTTAGTACCCTGCTTGTAAGACAGCTACTACAGAGTTGTATGATCTCACTTATGAGTACCCAGGAAATGCTAGTATAGTTAGTACCCTGCTTGTAAACTACTAAAGAGTTGTATGATCCCACTAAAGAGTTAAAGCTATTGTCTGCAGGTAGTAGTTAAATGCTAAGGAGCTAGGGAGATTTTTCACTGGATCTAACAGGCTAATATAGCTCACATGATATGTAATCTGGCAGCAGATTGGTTGGGAGTTTGTGGGTTTGAGAGTAGGTGGTAAAGGTGTGTGTTTACTGTTTAGCGGAAAAGGTTCATTTCTTCTCGGTATTTTGCGGTTGGCTTGAGTTTATATCTAGCTACCTGCATTTCACAGCAACCCCGCGACATATTCAGCTTCATTGCTCAATAGTTTCTTGCAAAAGAGTCTCACAACATAACACTTAATTTTACACTTGACCAATTTTTATTGGTCCTCTACCAAATCGCTACAGAAGTACAGAGACAAGAAGGTTAAAGAAGTAATCCCGAGGGCGGGTCGCCATCCAACCAGGAACGTGCCGGGAGATGACTACCAAACTCATTTGTATCTTCATCTGGTGTACTGCCCTGTGTTCAAGTAAATAAAGCACTAATCTGAAATTTTAATCCATCTACAACTGTCCAACTAATGACGTCAGCAGTATGACGTCACACTGCTGACGTCACAGCTTGATAACTCAGACCAATTGTTTGGTATTTTGTAGTTAAATTTTTATAGTTTAACGTTTATATAATTATATAATACAGGAGCAGCAGGAATAGAATTAGGAGCAACATTAACAGAAGGAGCAGAAACAGGAGGAGGACTCGGAGGACTCGGAGGAGGAGGACTCGGAGGAGGAGGACTCGGAGGAGGAGGAGGAGGAGGAGGAGGAGGAGGAGGAGGAGGAGGAGGAGGAGGAGGAGGAGGAGGAGGAGGAGGAGGAGGAGGAGGAGGAGGAGGAGGAGGAGGAGGAGGAGGAGGAGCTACAATTGTCAGATTACCTCGACCAGTATCTGGGACAATGACTACTTGCAATAAACCGGTAAGTAAATCACAACATAATATATTATACACATAATATATAACGCGAACGGTATATAATAGTACCATATAACCGGTAATATACTAAACCTGCTAATCATAGTAATATAATATTCCAAACCTTATATTGTGTCTAATGAGCACTACTCGGATGGTGGATTTATTGAAGCTATAAGGCAGACAGCTCTATATACAAGTTGATAGGGGCATTCATTTCTAGCTACCGTTAGTACCCCTGTTATTGACTAATGATGATACCCAACAGGACACAACATTTGAGGTATGTGCTGGTGGTGCGTTTGATGACAACAACTCCACTTCTGCCCACTCAGCTGATGATGTGGTGCAGAGCAAACGCCCTCAGTACCTGACTCTGTCCTTTAACAGACCCTACATCTTCCACTTTGTTATTCTGACGTTTTATAGGTACGTTATCAGTAATTACCTGTGGTTATTTCATTTCTGTTAAAATCCATTTCACAGTGAAGAGTAGGAATCAAACCAAGGCTGATAATAAAGTGGCAGTGTTGAGTGTATTATCACACAGTGACAGTGTACTATCACGCAGGTGGGATGATTGGTGTAGGAGTGATGCGTATTGTGCTAACACATGGAAGAGGCTGGAGGGGATCCAGATATCTATCAAGAACAGCAACACACAGGTAGTAGTAGTAGTAGTAGTATATCACCCACACAGGTAAATAAGCAGGACATAAGTACTGATCAATCTCACATAACGTCAACAATGATACATTAATGGAGATAAACTGATAAACCCAGTGCTCATTATAATTTTAGAAATAAACAGCTCCCAACAAGTTTTCTAACCCAGGAAGCAGTGGTGTGCGGCACAGTCCCCAGTGGTTCCTACAATGTACCAACTACAGAGGCACTGCAGTCAGGCAATGCACCAGATCCTGTAGCAGTGACAGTAACCTGCGAAGGGAGACCCAATGGAGACACCTTGGAACTGTACCAGACTATAGGTTCCCACCTACAAGTCTCTGAAGTCATGGCTTACGGGGTTATTGAGGGTAAGCGTAGTTATAGTCCTACTGATATGTAATCCTACTCTCACTACACAAGTTATATTGTCTATCTATAACCCTACCTCCGATACGTAAACAAACTTAATCCTTAGTTTTGAAACTTATCGTACCATTTGTCTTAATAAAAAACATTCACGCTATAAATTTACCCATCACTTCTTCACAAATAACGGGTGATAAGCGTCGTGCATGACTAGTCACTAATGATAGGTAGGTTGTGTTCGTTGGAAAACTTAGAACCTTTAAAGAATTCTCTAATATTTCATTACAGCTAACACTGCGTTAACAATATTAAATAGGTCAGTAAATATGTGAGCAGCAGATGTTTCTAAAAGGACAGGAACTGGTTAGCTGGTCCTCTGGTCCTGTTGGTTCCAGGTTCCTTCTATCCTCCCTCATTGTAACCACACAGTCTGTTCTATAATTACACACGGTCTTGATCTTGTTAAGTGACGTCAGACGCGGTCTTAGTCACGCGTTAGTCACGTGTTAGTCACGTGACAAATCTAGTTAAAGAAACTGAATAATATACCCAGGTCCAAGATGTGGTTTCAAGAGAACCTTCCAGAATGGTTGGGAACCTTGTTGGAATGTGGTTTGTTTTCATGAGATATGGCCAGCAGCTGCACAATGTACAATGTAGTGTCTACACAGGACAGATAGGCAAGCATGGTAGTGTTAGAAACATTCCCTTGATTACTGGAGAACCTGGTTTACATTTACACTAAAATATGAATCTTACTCACTAGATTAAATTGACTGAGAATTATAATATTCGCATAATTATGTCTTGTCACACATAATATATTCGCATAAAGAGGAGGAGTGACCAGAGCCGTGGTGACCTCAGTGGACGTGACCAGTCTCACCAGATGTAACACTAGCCACAGACCACGTTACCAGTCACGTGACATGTCACGCTTTACATTACACAAGAGTGCTCCCTCGTCCCGGAATTATATAACATTAATTTACAGGCTCTTAAATCATCGTTATAAAGTTATAAAGGTATGTTTCCACTCCCTATCCTTACGTAATGGTTAATTAGTAATGACTGTATTATAGTGTAATGCTAGGTTACATTACATATATTACATTTCTTATTTCAGTGTAAATTAGAGGAGCTTTAAGATTGAGAGCCATGAATTGGTATATTATCCAGGTCACCCTTGTAGGTCACCCTGTTGTACGGCTACAATAAAATCATCGGAGCTTATCTAAGTGTGACCTAGATAAGCTATATAATGATATAGATAAGCTATATGACCTAGATAAGCTATAACTTCCTATTTTCGCTGTTTGAAGAGTGTTGAAGCTATACCCCTAGCTTACAGAACACATGAGTGTTAACGTTAGATGGACCGTACCAGGGCATGGGTAGAAAACAACTTAGCATGGTAACCTTGTTGCCTGTACAAGAGCAATTCTAATTTCTAACTGCAGTCTGCACATCCACATTTTTTGTGAACAAACTGAAAATCCTATCTGCACAAAATGTTATGCTGTCGGCTTTTCTCAAGGCATAGAACGTACCCCGCGAATAACAGTCTCCCCTTCAGAGTTCTGTGCGTACTTCCAACTGTTCTTCTTGTCCTGCAGTAAACACGTGGTTACTCATGTGACAATTCAGTAAAATGAATATACACTAATGTAATAATAGTTTCAATAATCCTATAAATAAGACCCCTCGCTGCACTGTGAAACGGTACTCACAGGAATGTCCGGCTCCTCGTTGAGGAATTTGCCACACTCGTTATACTCGTTATCTTCAACCTTCATTCTCTCTCCACCCTGTAGCGGGACTAGTTGTTAGCCACAACATGTCACGTGTTTCTAAGCTGGTCCTAATAGTGTCCTAACTACTGTCCTAATATTAACTAGTGGTCCTAATACGGTGGTCTTACGGTGTACTTCTGTCAGATCAGAAGCTCGATCAGTACTCCGATCACTAAATGTCTTAAAATAGTGTTAGTTTGAACTATTTTAAACTACAGTTCTTTCAGTGTCCGTTAACAGATAGCGTGACTGGTATTCTTTAAAGGTGTTGGTTATACAGCGCGTCTATTTAAAACTGCATTAACACTAACACTCAATTTAACGGTTAGCACTGTATTTAACACGTTAATGGACCGGATCAGGTGTAGTGTTAGGTATTTTAGGTATGTAGTATTTACAGTGATGACTAACTGTTAAGCTGTTATAAACCTTGATAAAGTGTCATCGGTTTTAGATTGGATCATAAACTAACATTTTTTTAATCGTTGTGGAATTATACAGTCACATATTTTGAAGATAACGTATGTTATAGAAAACATGACCACGTGATGCCCATATATGGTAATTGTACGATAGTTGGCACCGGATAATGTGATTTAGAAACTGTGAAAACAGTTGTTAAATACAACTTCAACACTAGACATATGTTCCTTATTAGCTGATATATAGAAAACACAGCAGCACAATGTTAATATTATAAATATCTACCTGGACTAGAAACCGTTTATACCTTTAGGGGCTGTTCTACAAATTTTCATTAAATAACTACGATCTTGCGGCGGTGAGGGGGCTGGGCAGCAGTTGAGCTAGTTGATACGTACACTGAGTACATACTGAGTACATACTGAGTACATACTGAGTACATACTGAGTACATACTGAGTAGGTTGTTCAGGGGCTATTAATATCTACTACATTGTAAAATGGTGTACTTGTAAAACACTGCCTCTATAGGATGACTAGTTTGAGCTGACTGCTAAGAGTTTATAAGGCTCTCTTTCTCAGGCAGACCCGGTATGTTGGGTATGTGATTGCCTGCGGAGGGTATGTGATGATTCTAACATGCAATACTCCTCCGCAAGCATTAACTCGGCTATCTCCTCCGCAAGCAATGGCTAGATTAGTCATGCAAACAATCTTCAATCAGTTCGGCATATCAGTGGGGGCGTGTTATCTCCGGCTTACACACACTTTAAATTATATGAGAATACATTAGACGTCCTGTAATTAACAAACAAACACCAGATTGTAATTAACACCTCATTATTATATTACCAATATAGATTAGAGACCATATCAATCATTTACCCACAGCTAAAAGAAATAGTAGTATTGTATGAACAACTCACTAGCAGCACTACAACAGTAGTATTACTCACGAAGTTCTCTGCAGCAGTGAGTCTAGGAATAAAGAGTATCTCCAGTACGGAGCAGACTAAGTAAGTGAAACCAATACGTTGTAAAACTCCGGGTATCCTTAGCTGGGTCAGGTCAACTCCTGAAATAATTATACTAAGTAAAAAGAGCGTTTTCCCTTGTCGCATGTACGGAATTATCAGAAAACAGAAAAAGTTTAATTAATAATTAGGAACTTAACATGGTCTATATCTAGATATTATTATATCGCACGGTTCTTTGTTTTCTAATATAATTTTAATATTTGAAGGAAACTGTTTTTAAAAGTTGACTTATTACATCATTCTATCAAACTTCTATTTTGGTACATACCATCCAAATTGCCATAGTACAACTTCGTTGGATGATATTATGTATTATACATAATATGTATAAGGGACCCCTAAATTTGTTTTTAAAGGGTTACTGCTGTTAAACATTTTTATATTCCTCGGTTGCGTACCATGTTATTGAGCCAAAAGAGTGCATCGTTGTGGAATTATTGAATTAAATAATTGATGATTAAAAATAACATATCTCAGTAGTTTTAAATTCAAATAGTAGTTATAACAGACTCAAGGTCCTCCGTGAATAATTATCTTGATGATGCTGAGGTAATTTATAATTACAAAGCACTATACGCTCTCAATGTTAGCCAGTAGTATTATAGTAGTATGATTGCTTCATAAGATATGAACCACTTCAGAATTATTAGCCTCACATTATAATTCATTACTCTAGAATTTTAAAATATAAAATGTATAGCCGTTGTATAATGTATAGCTGCATATTTCAGTCCTAAAGTCCTAAATTTGTATCAAAAAAGACCAATGAGCACAGATTTGACTATCAAACATTTTGTTACAATAGAAAAAGTGCAGTTAAAATTGTCATTTCAGGTACATGTGAACCAAGTGAAGGGTGCGAGAATAGTGCACCAGATCTGGAGGAGCAAGGAACAGAAGATCCAGACAAAGAGGAGGAAGGTTAGTCAGTCTAATAGTTTGATTATACCAACGTTCTAATGTTTTTGGGCGGATTAGTTTATACAGAATATGTCAAAATTCAATTTATAACTACGATGGAGTTCTTTTGTTATTTGTTGTCGCATTTCCCTGACCTTTCTTAAAATGAAGAGGTTCAGCGCCCTTAACAATAATCTTTTCAGAGACTTGGACGGGAATACCAGCGGAACTTGTTTTATTAGACTTCAGCGAAAAGGCACTACAAATAAAACTGAAAACCATAGAGCCCGAGTTTTTAATCAACCTGAAAAACAAAGCAGAGTTCCTCAACGCCAACAAGCATCTCACTGTTAGAATCACAAAAACAGAGTACGAGATAATCTCACCCACATGTTTGGGTGCCACTCAGCACGCTTCAGGTATCCTTCAAGTCACTATTTTTAGTAATAAATAAGATGCAATAAGATGCAATAAGATGCAATAAGATATATTTGATGTCAAGAAAAATAGTAAATAAAAAGGAAAGATTTCGTATAGTAGAGGACGTGACACTGATGACTGAACTCAAAAAATTCAGGACCCATCAATCATCTTATTGCCGGTGAAGATAAGAAGGTGTTGACAATTCTCATGTGGAAGTCGCGATTCTATCTGTTTTTTAACGGAGTGGAGTTGTTTAACACAAAGCTTTACAACGAGTGTACGTTTGATGAAATGGAAATGGTGGAAAGTGTTGTGTCATCAGACCTAGACCCCAACTTGTACAGACCTTTAAAACTAGGTGAATATAGCTCAGCTGTACTAGAGTACAGAGGGAGAATGAACTGACTAAGAGTGGTTTTAATAAAGTAACTTAAAGTAACGTAACATTACATACCCCACGGCCCACAGTTTTAATAAAGCAACTTAAATTGACGTAAAATAACAAACTCCCCTACCCAGGTACATGTACATCCCTGCCCAGCAGGTGGGACCACAAGTTAAGGTCCTCCCTCCTCCCAGTTGAACCAGGAGACATAACCATGTTGTCCTGTGTAGAGACTGGCAAGGAACTGGCCGGAGATAGGTTTCTGAGGTGTTTGAAAGGAAGACTCTTCATAAGGAGAATAGAGCCGTCGTGTATTGGTAAGTATTTAGCACGCTCTACGCAGAATATATTAAAACCAACAATACCAGATATATCTGTAATCTGTTTTTGTCAATTTAGCGGCCAGGTAGCGCAGTTGGTTAGATCGCCATCTTTGCGAATTAAATCGTAAGGTTGCGAGTTCGAATTCCACTGTCTGTCTGGTCGTGGGTGGGCGTCTTTGACGTTCAGCTAAGGATCCTGTGTGGTCTATGCAGCCCCCCGGTCTACTCAGCCGAATACTCGAGAAATCGGGCGTGAGGGTTAAATGAGGAGCTGCACATTGCAGCAAAATCTCGAGCGAAGAAAGTATGGTACACACTACCTTAACCGTCACTGGCCAAAATAAATCCTTCGGCTTCCTGTAATTGGATGGTTGCACTTGTGTAACAATGTGGCTGTTGGAATACACCGAAGTAAAATAAGTGTCTTAAAAAAAATATCATGGGCTCTAATTTTAATTGTTTCAGGGCCCCACATCCCCTGGCAGTCCCCTTCATTAGTAACAACGTCCAGCAACCGTGGTCGTCCAACTGGAATGGAACCTGACAACATTATTGATGGTCAACTAGATACCATTGGTGGTACGGGAAACGGAAAGGTATGTGACCTACCTATTGACCTACCTATTGACCTACTTAATGTGTATTGTGTGACCTACCTATTGACCTACCTATTGACCTACTTAATGTGTATTGTGTGATCTACCTATTGACCTACCTATGTGATCTACTTAATGTGTATTGTGTGACCTACCTATTGACCTACCTATGTGATCTACTTAATGTGTATTGTGTGACCTACCTATTGACCTACCTATTTGATCTACTTAATGTGTATTGTGTGATCTATCTTTTGTTATCCAGATTAAATTTAATGAATATAATGAACATGACCCGGTAATTTCACCTTATTTTGCAACATTTCAGGGTCCAGGAGGAGAATGGATCACACTGGACCTTGATAAAGTTTACCACGTGACCAGAGTTAAAATAGTGAACAATGTGGGAACAGATCAAATCACTTCTGCAGACAGTAAACACTCTTTTTAATAGGGCCCTCGTTTTAAGTACCGTCCATCTAGTGGGACCTCATCGCTCTAGTAGTATAATAGTAGTAGTATAGTATTAGATAGCTGTAGTAACATTTGGTTAATTATCCAAACTATCGTTTATATTGAGGTACAAGACAACTTACTTAATCTAGAAGTGTGCTTAGGTAGTTACTAGGTAGTTACTAGGTAGGTAGTTACTAGGTAGGTAGTTACTAGGTAGGTAGTTACTAGGTAGGTAGTTACTAGGTAGTTACTAGGTAGGTAGTTACTAAGTAGGTAGTTACTAGGTAGGTAGTTACTAGGTAGTTACTAGGTAGGTAGTTACTAGGTAGGTAGTTACTAGGTAGGCAGTTACTAGGTAGGTAGTTACTAGGTAGGTAGTTAATAGGTAGTTACTAGGTAGTTACTAGGTAGGTAGTTACTAGGTAGGTAGTTACTAGGTAGGTAGTTACTAGGTAGGTATTTACTAGGTAGGTAGTTACTAGGTAGGTAGTTACTAGGTAGGTAGTTACTAGGTAGGTAGTTACTAGGTAGGTAGTTACTAGTTACTAGGTAGGTAGTTAATAGGTAGTTACTAGGTAGTTACTAGGTAGTTACTAGGTAGGTAGTTACTAGGTAGGTAGTTACTAGGTAGGTAGTTACTAGGTAGGTAGTTACTAGGTAGTTACTAGGTAGGTAGTTACTAGGTAGTTACTAGGTAGGTAGTTACTAGGTAGGTAGTTACTAGGTAGTTACTAGGTAGGTAGTTACTAGGTAGGTAGTTACTAGGTAGGTAGTTACTAGGTAGGTAGTTACTAGGTAGGTAGTTACTAGGTAGGTAGTTACTAGGTAGGTAGGTTCTAGGTAGGTAGTTACTAGGTAGGTGTGAAGAGAGGGTTGAGTGTGAACTGTTCAGGAAGTACAATATCAGTGTGTACAGAGAACGTGGAGCCAGGTAACTGCAGTCCTGAACAAGTGCTCCTAGTGAACTATAACACTGCTGAGGAGGAGGAGACTACTACAGACTGGTTCACTGCTGAAGCACAGACCTACATACTGAGGTTTGATAACTCCGGGGACCGTATCTACATTAAACAGCGAGCAGGGTACGACAGCTTCCTCTACCTTTCTGAGGTCTACTTTCAAGGTACACAACAAGGTACGCAAACAGTGTGTGTACTGCACACTGCACAACCTACTTAATGAAAAATTTGCTCATTAAAAAGTGGACGAATGTTTCTGAGTTGAAAAAGTAAAAGAGGACCCAAGTGTTGACTGGAGATGATGCAAATAATATTAAAGTATCTTTCTCTACAGGTTGTGACACAGACACAGATCCAAACTGCACTGTACCTGATCCAGGTTTGTACTGTGCGTGGTTTAGTACAGCTCTAGTATAGTAGTATAGACTATATATCATTTGCTCATTACAAAGTGGCCAGTGGGCAATGTTTCTGAGTTGAAAAAGTAAAAAAGGACCCAAGTGTTGACTGGAGATGATGCAAATAATATTAAAGTATCTTTCTCTACAGGTTGTGACACAGACACAGATCCAAACTGCACTGTACCTGATCCAGGTTTGTACTGTGCGTGGTTTAGTACAGTTCTAGTATAGTAGTATAGACTATTATATATCATTTGCTCATTACAAAGTGGCCAGTGGGCGAATGTTTCTGAGTTGAAAAAGTAAAAAAGGACCCAAGTGTTGACTGGAGATGATGTAAATAATATTAAAGTATCGTACTCTACAGGTTGTGACACAGACACAGATCCAAACTGTACTGTACCTGATCCAGGTTTGTACTGTGCGTGGTTTAGTACAGCTCTAGTATAGTAGTATAGACTGTAATATTATATTATAGTCAATTAAAAAACCGACACTATCAGTGCTTGCTACTGACACACAACATATAATATACATTTTACAGTCTACTTACTAATTATACCGACATCCTGACTGCTTATTAGTTATAACTTTATATTTATTCTCAATAATTAGTGGCTTAGTGGCTCAGTTGGTTAATCCGGGCCTGGTATTGCTTGAGGTACCAGGTTCGATTCCCGACTCTGCCACTAGCCGAGGGGTGAGCGTCGTCGACGCTCAGCTAAGGATCCTGAGTGGTCTATGCAGCCCCCCGGTCCACTCAGCCAAATACTCGAGAAATCGGGTGTGAGGGTTAAATGAGGAGCTGCCCATTGCAGCAAAGTCTCGGGCGAAGAAAGTATGGTACACACTACCTTAACCGTCACTGGCCTAATGTATAATTGAATCCTTCGGCTTCCTGTAATTGGCTGGTTACACACTTGTGTAACAATGTGGCTGTTGGAATGTCCGAAGTAAAATAAGAGTTGAGATTAGACTAAATAGCATGGCTGGGCATCGTGCTATTTAGTTTAAATTATGATCTAAATTCTAATAATCCAATAATCTGAAGTTTCAACAATCAGATCAAAATAATACTCATTATATTTACCTGGAAGATAAAAACAATGAAACAAGAGATCTACGAATCAAGATTAGATATAATATCATCTAACCCCGATAATATATCGATAACTATTACCTAATGTACCTAAAGTAAGATAAGAAATGTAAATATCTACCAACCTCCTGGTACTCCTGTGTTCAGGAACACCCCTATCAGGAACAGTTTCAGGAACCTCACTCCTACTTTCTTCAGAATCTTCGTCTTCGCTACGTTCTTCTTCAACTGTTAGGGAAATAATTAGTTTTTATATAAGCAATTATTTTACCAAATAACTAATTGATTAATTTAAATTGATTATTCAGTTGCTACCAGCAATTCTCTTGGAGGACCGGTAAATTTCATTTAAGGTAAACACCATTATCGTGATACTATTCACCTTTTCTAAACTTGATCATGACGTTTAAACTTCCACATCTTTCACGATTAGATGGCATCTGATACTAAGTATACTAATTCACCTAGTAGTAATTTAAGTGAACCGCAAAAGATGTACAATTATTCAAAGTGCTTAGTGCATAATTTTTTCTTCTTCGCAATTTCAACTACATTATCTACAACTTTAGCCACAGACCACATCGCATCGAAATTCTAGTATCAGACAGACACTTAATGTATAGCACTGGTCATTATGCTAAATGAATATTTATGCAAGTTATCAACTTTAATTATCCAGCTCTTTTGCCGTGTAACTATATTTTTCAGAATTGGAAGACATGTACAAAATGCTTGTGCTTGTCAAACTTTTAGTTAAGAAATTCCAATTTAAGTAAGAAATTCTCATTTTAATCAGTAAAAGTAGAATAATTTATAGCTAGTCTGACAATTGTGGTTAAGTAAAATAACTCCAACTACAGGACTTGGCATGTTTGGTAAAATAACTTCAACTACAGGACTTGGCATGTTTGGTAAAATAACTTCAACTACAGGACTTGGCATGTTTGGTAAAATAACTCAACTACAGGACTTGGCATGTTTAGTAAAATAACTCAACTACAGGACTTGGCATGTTTGGTAAAATAACTCCAACTACAGGACTTGGCATGTTTAGTAAAATAACTCCAACTACAGGACTTGGCATGTTTGGTAAAATAACTCCAACTACAGGACTTGGCATGTTTAGTAAAATAACTCCAACTACAGGACTTGGCATGTTTAGTAAAATAACTTCAACTACAGGACTTGGCATGTTTGGTAAAATAACTTCAACTACAGGACTTGGCATGTTTAGTAAAATAACTTCAACTACAGGACTTGGCATGTTTAGTAAAATAACTCCAACTACAGGACTTGGCATGTTTAGTAAAATAACTCCAACTACAGGACTTGGCATGTTTAGTAAAATAACTTCAACTACAGGACTTGGCATGTTTGGTAAAATAACTTCAACTACAGGACTTGGCATGTTTAGTAAAATAACTTCAACTACAGGACTTGGCATGTTTAGTAAAATAACTTCAACTACAGGACTTGGCATGTTTGGTAAAATAACTTCAACTACAGGACTTGGCATGTTTAGTAAAATAACTCCAACTACAGGACTTGGCATGTTTGGTAAAATAACTTCAACTACAGGACTTGGCATGTTTAGTAAAATAACTTCAACTACAGGACTTGGCATGTTTAGTAAAATAACTTCAACTACAGGACTTGGCATGTTTGGTAAAATAACTTCAACTACAGGACTTGGCATGTTTAGTAAAATAACTCCAACTACAGGACTTGGCATGTCGCCAATGTTATTGACAAGAGGATACTTTACAGCACTTATCGTGATTTACTATGTCAACACTTACAAGTCAATTATATTTATACGCAGTTATTAATTTATATTTTATAAAATAAACAGAGACAGATCTTATAGGTCTTCAAATTAACCGCAACACTCCAAAGTAGTAGAGCCATAGTTCAACTGTGATATTGCACAGTTGTTAACAGCTACTCAACTGTGATATTGTACAGTTGTTAACTGCTTCTCAACTGTGATATTGCACAGTTGTTAACTGCTACTCAACTGTGATATTGCACAGTTGTTAACTGCTACTCAACTGTGATATTGCACAGTTGTTAACAGCTTCTCAACTGTGATATTGCACAGTTGTTAACTGCTTCTCAACTGTGATATTGCACAGTTGTTAACTGCTTCTCAACTGTGATATTGCACAGTTGTTAACTGCTTCTCAACTGTGATATTGCACAGTTGTTAACTGCTACTCAACTGTGATATTGCACAGTTGTTAACTGCTTCTCAACTGTGATATTGCACAGTTGTTAACTGCTTCTCAACTGTGATATTGCACAGTTGTTGTTAACTACTACTCACTACTGTTAAAATGTGAAAACTAGGGAGAAGCTAAGTCTAGGGAGTAGCTACTAAGGATCCATTGGATCTATGCGATCTCCTCGGTCGACTCAGCCGAATGATAGGGAACTTAATCGAGGGTTAAATGAGGAGGGGTACCTGTTAAAAGTTCAAGAAACTTCCTAGGATACCCCTTCAGTGCATACTGTAAAGTGTAAACAAAGTACTATTAACTATTAACTATTAACTATTAGGCAAACTCTCTGTTTACGTAAACGTGAGGATAACACTGCCCACCTACAGCAGATCTAAAAGGAGTTATCACCATAGAAGTTAGAACTGAAGCTTGTTCATCATGACAATTTAATATTGCTAGTTTTGAGGACGATAAACATACACTGTTTAAGAGTATAGCAGATTTTTTAGTTCTAATATTATATGGATACCTTACTAAACATTAAATCATGTTGATTTATAATTAGTAAGGTCTAATGACTCTTGGAACATTCTAGATGTTTGCGTAACCCAAATTAGAACAAGCTATCTAAAGATTAATATTATTTTGAAGATTAGCTGAAGCGTGTAACATTGTAATTTATCCATTTATCACATTATCAATAAATTAACAGAGAACGGGAGGCACTAATTAATTAGTTACAGTCAATTAAACCGCTGTAATTACACCTGGTAGACAGCTGTAATTGCAGGATGAAGTCTGACGGAAATAATTAGCTGGAAATATAACGATTAAACTGAAAGATTAGTTCACTAACTTCATAGCCATCATTCTACAGATGAACGAGTATATTAACCAGCTTAATATCAGTGAGATGGCTACTTGGCTAGGACATTTCACTAATTCACAGTTCACTAATTCACAGTTGACTAATTCACTATTAATCCTGTGTAGTTCACGTGATCACTAATCAACAGAGCTAACTTCACAGCAGCACATCATATAAATCCATCCTCTTGTTATCTCTCATGACTATTGACTGGTACAGTTATAAAAATAACCTTCAGGTATTATTGATACAAATAAAGAAACTAAAAGCAAAGCTTCCTGGTCACCCATAATAATTTTACTTTTTAGTAAGATCTGTAATTCTCTACTATTCACACTTCACATGTTATATATGATAAGCATTATTCTCTATTTAATTTATTAACTCCGTCCAGCTACCCAGCTTACAGTAAGATAGCTATAAAACAGTTCCCTCTCATCTACTGACGTCATGCAACAATGAACTATTATACAAATTTAGCTGACCTAACCAAAGTCTGTACACTGTACATTCCTACGTAGAGAAAACAATAGGGTGACAGCCCGAAATAGTGTTCTTAACTGAGTTTTAATGTACAATAGTGGCCCGCATTAGACAGGCTTGCTGGGACGGTATCTTTATAGTTTATAAGATGTAAGGCTGCAAATTAATTGGGATCTATACGCTGTGTTTTTACAAGGTTGACGGTGACTGTTGGTAAACGTGTAGATATGGTTCCTGTGTTATTATAGAATATGTAATTTACTCCGCATAATCCAATAAACTCACATGTCACATGGTTCTAAAGATGAGTATTTAACACGGCTGATAACGCGGTTACCTGGGTCACTAAATCAAATCTACATTTTGGGCCCTCTGTACATTCCAGGAAACCTAATCAAGTGACACCCACGCGTTTGTAAACTGAGAACCACTAGTGGCTGCTGTGTAATGCATCTTACTACTGTAGCTGTAAAATGAGAACCACTAGTGCTGCTGTGTAATGCATCTTACTACTGTAGCTGTAAAATGAGAACCACTAGTGCTGCTGTGTAATGCATCTTACTGCTGTGGTGGACTGTGTGGTACTCTGCTAATGTAACTTTCACGGTACAAGATACTGATTACTGAACAGAGAGGCTTAAACACAGTTAATATCACAATGTTGGTCTGATCTGACTAGTAGTTTATTATTTACCTGTGACTGATCTGACTAGTGGTTTATTATTTACCTGTGACTGATCTGACTAGTAGTTTATGATCTACCTGTGACTGATCTGACTAGTAGTTTATTATCTACCTGTGACTTATCTGAGTAGTAGTTTATTATTTACCTGTGACTGATCTGACTAGTTGTTTATTATCTACCTGTGACTGATCTGACTAGTAGTTTACTATTTATCTGTGACTGATCTGACTAGTTGTTGTTGTTGTGAAACCAGCTTTTTTTGCCGGTACCCTTAAGGGATTTCAAGTCAACTTATAAAATCAAAAAATTCACACACCAAACAATATCTCACTCCCATCGGGCAGAAATTAACCTTTAATAAATCATAGTAAGTAAATGTATAGTCTATAGAATATGCGTATGAAAACTTAGCCTAGTTAAATAAAACCTACTGGTGAGACTTCCTTCACGATTGCTATTCAGCAATGTATGGTCCAAAAATCATCACGGGAAATTATATGAGTAACAATCCCGTTGGCCATACTTCATCAGATCTCAAAAAGTCTGCACTTCGAGTTGCTATACCAAATTTGAAATTCAGCGAAATCACGCACTTTATTCTAAACTCTTAAACTCAGCCCAATTGCACACAAATCAACAAAGAAGATAACAGATTAATCTGAGTTAATTATCTCTTATATGCATTCACTACACTCAAAACTTTTCCGTCGTTAATATAGTGATACTTCGACGGTTCAGCAGATATTTTCTCCTTTAATTGAGCTACAAGTTTTTTATGTGTTGCTTGTTCCTCTCGGTTTCTATCTGGAGCAACGAACCAGCTGTGGTAGGTTGTACAGAGGGACTTTTTCAAATGATTTGCTCTCGAGAGAGCCTCTTTCACTGATTCGTTACTATTCATAGTCACTTTGATTGGCCTCGGCCTACCATCCTCCCGTTTCTTCACACCGATACGATTAGCAGCTACAATATCAGAGTGGTTATTGTGTTGCAAAATCTTGTCCTGTACTTCATCTGCTAAATCAGCGGGGCACGTGGAGTAATCCTCCGGAACTCCGTGGACGATGAAGTTCCTGCTCCGAGCGTCGTCTTGAACAGCAGACTGTACTGCTTTCTTCACTGTCTTCAAAGTTGGAGCTTTATTGTCGCAGTTTTTCCTGGCAATTTCGCTCCATGTCTTCATCTCCGTTTTAATCTCAGTTTGAACAGTCTCCTGCACAGATTTTAGCTGCTCTCTCTGCACTTTTATCAGTTCTGACTTAACATAATCGATGGTACCGGCTGCAGATTTGCATAAAACAATGTTACTGATCAGTGATTTGGTTAAGTTCTCAATGAGTTTTGCCATCGTGTCCTTGTTACATTTCATGAGTGCTGCATGATTCAGTTCCTCAAATTTTTCAATATTGACAGCGTTCTTCGCAGTATTTGCAGTATTGACAGCTTTTAAAACTTTTTCCACTGATGAATGCAAAGCTTCCTCTTGTGTGTGTAGATCTGCTACGTTGAATTCCATTGTCAATTGTACAACAAACGGGCTGTACAGCACGGTGCTGTGTTAAAGTTGATAAAACAGCTGATAAGAGACGATTTAAACCGTTGCATAAGCTAGATAAAATGATTGCTACTGAGATAAAATGATTGCTACTGAGATAAAATGATTGCTACTGAAGATAAAATGATTGCTACTGTTTATTATCTACCTGTGACTGATCTGACTAGTAGTTTATTATTTACCTGTGACTGATCTGACTAGTAGTTTATTATCTACCTGTGACTGATCTGACTAGTAGTTTACTATTTATCTGTGACTGATCTGACTAGTAGTTTATTATCTACCTGTGACTGATCTGACTAGTAGTTTATTATTTACCTGTGACTGATCTGACTAGTAGTTTATTATCTACCTGTGACTGATCTGACTAGTGGTTTATTATTTACCTGTGACTGATCTGACTAGTAGTTTATTATTTACCTGTGACTGATCTGACTAGTGTACTTTATTATCTACCTGTGACTGATCTGACTAGTGGTTTATTATCTACCTGTGACTGATCTGACTAGTAGTTTATTATCTACCTGTGACTGATCTGACTAGTAGTTTACTATTTACCTGTGACTGATCTGACTAGTAGTTTATTATTTACCTGTGACTGATCTGACTAGTGGTTTATTATTTACCTGTGACTGATCTGACTAGTAGTTTACTATTTACCTGTGACTGATCTGACTAGTAGTTTATTATTTACCTGTGACTGATCTGACTAGTAGTTTATTATCTACCTGTGACTGATCTGACTAGTAGTTTATTATCTACCTGTAACTGATCTGACTAGTGGTTTATTATTTACCTGTGACTGATCTGACTAGTAGTTTACTATTTACCTGTGACTGCACAGAGAGCACGATGCTGCACCCCACCATGAACATGAACCAGGGGAAGACAAAGTCAGCTAAACTCAACCCATTCCACGCGGCGTGATCCAAGAAGAAGTAGTTACCTGCAAGAAGTAGTAGTTACTATACCTGTAACAGTCTGGGTTATTTGGTACAAACACTGCAATTAGGCACATGACGGGGATATAATAAGGTTTGTGGGATTTTAAATCTATATCTTAGATTTAGTGAACATTGCCTCTTAAATTTTAACGGAAGGAATCCAGAACATGGCACGAAAATTAGGTTCGCTGAGTAGTACTATAGTTTACAGAGAACTACAACTCTACAACTCAGGCTAAATCTTGTCTCGGCCGTCTGAGAACGCAAATTATATGTTTGTGCTTATTAGTCAGATCTAGTACTGTACTACCTGTGTCCTGTACACTTAGCAGTGTCCTGTACACTTAGCAGTGTCCTGTACACTTAGCAGTGTCCTGTACACTTAGCAGTGTCCTGTACACTTAGCAGTGTCCTGTACACTTAGCAGTGTCCTGTACACTTAGCAGTGTCCTGTACACTTAGCAGTGTCCTGTACACTTAGCAGTGTCCTGTACACTTAGCAGTGTCCTGTACACTTAGCAGTGTCCTGTACACTTAGCAGTCATTATAAGACAGGAGAAGACTAAGACTGCTCAGATGATAGTACATATTGTACAGGCATCTTGATGTGTAAAACAGTACAAGAATTGTCCCTACTTATGCTATTTTGTCAGAAAACCCCTTTTATTGTTCCGTGGTTGCAATAAGTTTTAAAAAGACGCAAAAATAATTGGGGCAACATAATCAAATACAGAGCTGAATAGCACAGCAAAAAATTACAGTAACTACTGTTACTCTTGTTACTAATATAGATATTAAAAAATTACAGTAACTACTCTTACTCTTGTTACTAATATTAACAAATTACAGTAACTACTTTTACTCTTGTTACTAATATCTAGATTATGTCACATTAGCTCTTATATCGCTGCCTACTTTCGGACTGAGTGACCTCAGCTTCAGAACTGACCGGCTACTTACTGCAGATGGATGTTATGCTAATCGCCACAGGATAGTTTTGTATTATGTATTAAGTATGTGACAGTGTGTGTCGAGGACTGATTAATCATTGTTGACTGTGTTGTCTAATAAAGAGCTCTTTGCTGCAGTATAATTGACATAATATCAGGACGTGTTAATCATATATTGAATACTGGTACTCGTGTTACTGTGACGAACACTACTTCATTGTGTCGCCTGTTACACTCCCTTACCATAGCGAGGTGTAAAGGGGCGAGGTACCCCCCCCCCCCCCGGCCCCTCCCCCTTTAAACAGCAAATATTCTAACCTCCCCCGAAGTTGACGAAGATCATGATGGTGACAGCGAGACCTCTAAACGTGTCTAGAGACTGTAATCTGGCTGCTTTTCTCTCTTTCTCCTTCTGAAATATTAATGTATACTTATACAGTAAGTGTTATGGTAATCAACAAGTTTTTAAGGAATAATTCAAAGTTGTTGTACCTAATTTTTGATTATTATTGATAAATTATTTTACTTGTACTTTTTTTCAATTATTATTTTTAATGGTTGATAAAAACACAGATTCGGCCTCGTCTCACATCACGGTACAAGATTCTACATAAATTACATAGATTATGTATTATAGAACAGACACAATATGATTGTTTGTAGGGATCTTATCCTAATTTGTTCTAGAACGTGCCAGCAGTTTAACCAATGAGCTGCCAATCAAATTGGTGAATAACTTTCACTTTCACTTTCAATTACCTCGTCTGGTTCGGTCTTTTGTAGTGGTATCTGATAATTTATTTGATGGAAGACTATGAAATTAGCTTAGAATTAACTAATTTTCAGTTTGACGAAGGATTTTAATAATAATGCGACAAATATAGATAACCTAAGTAACACCATTAAAGTATTAAGTTATTTCATTAAATTATTCCTTCTGTATAATTATATATTATAAATCCTGTTTGATAATAAACAATATTATTTATCAATAAAATTAATAATGAAAATAAGGATTACCTCATCCTCCGGGTTCCAGTATCCCAGCCTCTTCATAGTCTCCTCCTTCAGTCTGGGATATCTCCTGTCTATAATAACCAGGATCACTATAAAGAGGATGATCACCACTAACACCACCAGTGTCAGCCATATTGGCATCCAGTAGTTGCTCGGTTTAGTGGTTGTGAACATGTAACAAGAATAGTCTATCTCTGTTTCCCCCTCTTTAGCTGCAGCCTCCGTTTCTTTTAGAACGATAGTGTAAATACCACTGTCCCCAAATCTCCAGTCTGTACCGTTACACATCTCTCGTTTATTGTAGAAGATGGAAATGTTCCAGTAGTAATTAGTGTCGTCTATCAGGAAGTGAACTGAGTCCTGCACAACTGTTGCTCCCAAGTCAATACCAGTTTTACACCCTGACAAGTATCCTCAGTTAATTACATGTTGAAATATAGTTATGTGAGATGAGGAAAAGTTGCAACTTCCAATCATATCTGTCAAGCAAATAACAAACATTCCCCTGAATATTAACTATTTATCTATTATTTAACTTACCGAGACAACCTCTGTTTGAACCCACCACCTCAAAGAGGCTCAAGTTAAACTCCTTCCCCCCAGCTGCTGTAGGACATATCATTGCAATAGCTTTGTCCAGCCCTGGTACTGGTGTAGGCCCTGTATGACACACTGAACCCTTTAATAAATTGTCTGCCCCCACTTCATCCACAAATATGGCTGCATTTTCGTTTGGTTTTAAGACAAGGGGTTCTTCTAAAGGGTGCTGATAAGTCACACTTCCTTCTTTCAGCCTTTGGAATGACAATTCATACGCTGATGCTGAAGTTGTTATCGAATTTATTATAACATAATATCCATAAAACTAGTATCGTATTCTTCAAAGAAACAACAAAATTGATAAATATTCTATTTATTTATTTTACCATTGACAGGCGTCTTTAAATTTCCCATGTAGTCCAAGGGATACAAATCGTAAGTATACTTTTCTGGCGTCTGAAAACGATTATTGATTGATTGGAAATTTTTCTCGACTAATAAACTTGGACAGCTTGGCTAGAGGATAACTCATTCAATATATATATTTGACTAGAAATATATATATAATGTATCTTATCAATTCAAAATACATTAGTAATCTTGATATGCTTTATTCCCTTTATTCCATCAATCAACACAGCGAAAGGAAATATGGAACTCACTGTGAAGAGATCTGGAACAACTTCTGTCAGGACAATAGCAGGATCATTTGGTCCAGTCTTGTTCTGTTCTATAAAGTCAAATATCTGAATATAAGCAACATCCTCTGCTCTTGAGGCCACCCAGCAGACAGTGATAACCCCGAAAAGAAGTAACATTTTCATTACATCATCTATACAAACTGAGGTAGCATAGATTAGAATGAGAATCAAGTAAAATAAGAACCCTTGAGAGCAACTAATTTTAATTGAATTTAAATATTAACTAAAATTTAACAAAAATCAGTCGGTGGCTGTGGAAATATTATGGCTAGGAATAAGATTCTTAAATTCCTCATTTTATGCCACTGGGACTATGGAATAGCACCGCACTGATAGAAATTTATGATTGAGATGAATTTTCGAGTAGTATGTAGTAAAAAGCGTATTTTACATAGCATATCTTATTTTCATGAGTTTATTATCAGATGTTCAAGTTTAACTATGTTTATTATGATATTATTATTCATTGTAATATGGCAATAAAATTTAAATTTTGTTTTACTTAAAATTTTGTTTTACTTAGTATGCACATTACATAAATAGAATGAAATCAAACAGAGCGTTTTTAACAACTTCACTGTAATTACAGTGAACTATAAACCATGTTGATTCGAAAAGATAGTAAGTTACAAAAGAGCTCTCTCACTGAAGACCAAAATTGACCAATTCTGCAAAAGAGATTTAAACGAACTTGATTTGTATATTTAAATATATAACATATATATGCAAACTTTTATTAAGTGAAATTTAATAATGGGTTAACAAACTAAAAGTTTCATGCCAAAGCAATCTTAGCTTTGGTGTGAAACTTTAGTTTGTTAACGCGTTGTTTCATTTTGTATAAAGTAAAAATGTAATTAATTTCCACTACTATACGTGTATTTTAAGTTCTTTAGAAACGCGAGGATTCAACCTAAGATATTTATCATGCTTATCTTAAATATCAACATAATTCCCTCAATTCTTCCTAATACTTCATTTGAAACATTCCAAAAATAATAAATAATAATTCAATTTTTAGCAATCAAGATCAAAAAATAATGAGCAAAGATTCGCAATGTTAAGAACAGAGCTCATTTCTCTAAAAGGTTACAGAGGCAAGCAAATGGAATATAAAACCCCTTTAGCAGAACTCTCTTACAGCCTCATTACATCCCTGCCCTTATGATGGAGTAGATTTTTTTTGTCTTTCTTAAAAATTTTGTCTTTCTTAGATGTGTATATTTTTGATTGTTGATATTTCATATATATTATTGGTAGCAGTAAACAATTTCCGTTACCTGTGCATTGTGCTCTGCCAATTGCATCACTTGATTTAATAGAATGTATGTATAACAATAATGAGCCATAACATTAAAGTTGGGACTTGCAGCGTAATAATAAGTTAATAATAAATGTATACAGTGACATTATTGAAACAATTACGGCGTCTTATTGTTGTCAGAATGTGTGTCAGTGGCGTAACGAAAGGCCCTGCTGACCCCGCTGTGCAGGGGGGCGCCGTCTTAGGGGGGCGCCAAATCGTCGTTTGAATGTGGGACAATTTCAAAAACTTAACTTAAGTACTAGCAAAACTGCGCGTTTTGCTCTAGATACACACTTTTTTAGAGATTTTACCGGCGTATTTTCTAAAATCACCTAATTTGTTCAATTTTAGGGAGGGGCACCAAAAGGGGAGGGGGCGCCAACAGGGGGGCGCTTTTTTCGGCAGGGGGGGGCGCCAACAGGCAACGTTACGCCACTGATGTGTGTCCCGTCGATGAATATGTCCCGTGTAGTACTCATAGTAGATTAGGTAAATCAGAATACGATTACTCTTCAATACTGTTAATGGGGCCTCAAAAGTCAAAACTCACTATTTAATGCAATTCTTCTGTCGGTCATAGCCCTAAAATGTGTTGTTTAAAATGCATGGTAATGAATTAAATACGGGAACTTGCAACTTAGTTATTTTGAAATAGGCTTAATTTTGTTACGTTATATGGAATGTTTCATTATTAAGAAACTGTTTACACCATTAAAATATTCAAAACCCCTGAAAGAAATCAAGTCATCCTAAAATGGTGATCAGTACAGATCAAGACAGCTAGAGTTAAAATTTGTTTCTCCAAGCAACTCTATCATCGGCTAATATCTTAAGCTTATTAAGATCATTCAAAGAGTTAAGTTTTAAACCTCTACGGGTCAAATCATTCACAATAATCTTGAACAAATTCTTACGATGCGCACCGACGCGCCCTTTACAGTTTGTTGTGACAGCAAACTTTAACGCTAATGCAGCGGGGGAGTCATCAGCACTACGCAAGATATGACCTAGGAGCTTCCACCTTGCTTTAGGGACACGATCTGATAGCTTTACTGAGTTACATCTTAAGTATAAGTTTGCATTGGATATTGTTCCACGAGGCCAATAAATGTTCAGTAATGATCTAAGGTGTTTTCTATGGCAAATGTCTAGTTTTTCTAGTGACTTTGCAGTACACAGTAGGACACCAACTACTGCAATTGTACATGATGATTGATACAATTTGGGCTTCGTAAACTGCTATCTTTCTTGTAACGGAGATATTCTGCTGAGACCAGAATGTTTCATGAATTGCCGAAATCATCTGATTTTTATTTAAAAGGTGGGAAAACTCTATTAAAGGACTTGAATAATATAATAAGTGATGCGATGTGACAATATTAACATTTCTTCACCCTATTTTGAAGAACTATATATCTAAGCAGCAAAAGAGTTATTTATTTTAAAATTTATTTTTGTATCTCAAAAACGATGTAAAGTTTTTAATATGACGTAGAATTAAAGCTATTTCCGTACATAACAGCCTAAGTATGCTCGTTAGAAAAACTATGGGTTGAGTTGCAAGCTGAGTATATGTTCAAATCGCCTTACTTCGTATGGTGAAACATCGACAGGTTTGCCTTGACCTTTCGGACGAGTGTTTGCCCACCGGGGATCCAAAAATATGATCACCATGAACATTACTTTGACACATGAACTTATCAAACGACTGTAATGATTCCATTAAATTTTCTTAGTACATTTAGCTAGTTTATAGTAGATACACACGGTCACAGAATAGAGGAGCACAATTGGGCTCTTTGTTCTGCGACCGTGTTTCCTCGGTGGGCCGACAGGTTTTTGTTGTGTAGTAGTGCTGGGGAAAAAACACGCTTTAAATATCAATGAATGTAAATATTGTTAATTGACATTAGTGCCACAGTTTATGTGGTAAAAACAAATTTATGGTCAAACATTATATATCGTAGAAGGGCATGATTTACCCACATCACTAAGCATCTGGATGGATAATTAGCACACAAGGATAAACTGAGCTTTAAACATGACCACCATCAATAGCATATAACCATAGCTCCAAAATAAATAAATTGCTCTACATAGAAACATCTGGCCTGATCTTATCACATTGTGGTCCCCTGGGGTTCGGTAAAGCCCTTACAGGCAACTGGGTCCTTTTACCAGCCACAATAAAACTAGTCATGCCAGTACTGTCATAAACTGTAACCAACTATTTAAAAATAAGATATCTTTTGCTAGAATTTTAAATTTTAAGCCATAGAGCAATCTTCTCAATTTTTAAATTTAAAAATAACATTTTACCCTAACTATGATGTGGTGGCATTTCATACTTAACTAAAATTCAACTTTGAAAGTCAATAGATTATTAGTCACAACAAAATTATAGTTTAAGACATCCATTTTGCATTGTGTTTCCATTATTAGAATTTATGATATGTATTGATTGAATAATTGGTAATAAATTTAACTTTTGTTTTATTAACTTTTGTTTTATTATAAACATGCTAGCTTTCTTTATTTTTGCATTTTGTTAGTCGGCTGACATTTTGGGTTGTACTGGATGTAACAGTTTATTATCGGATGTCTACTTAATATATTTATTATGGTATCATTATTCATTGTATTGGCAATAAAATTTAAATTTTGTTTTACTTAAATTTTGTTTTACTTAAATTTTGTTTTACTTAAATTTTGTTTTACTTATTAGAAGTTAATATATTCTTTTAGAAATAATTGCATGATTGGTAAAATATTCTTTAGCACACCGGAGCTTGATTCACGATGTCAATTCTTCGCAGCTCGGCGTCGCGTGGCCCAGTGGTGCATCTTGCCGATTTGAGGTTAATTGACGATGTCAATCCTGAATTCATCGCAGATCTAGCGGCGAGAAGCATATTTTAGTGCGCGGCGTGGCCCATAAAAGCATCGCGCTACAAATTTTGAAATCTGTGGTTACGAAAAACATTATTTGATGCGCGGTGCGGCACAGTAGTGCATATCTCGCACGCTACAAATCGGAGCTTTTGAATAAAAAATATATTTTTATAAATTAAATATTTAATTGTTATTATTGTTTGACTTTCTGTGAGGAGAAATATATTAGGTGAACAATTTGATCCCTGCAGTTTCTTTTCGTTTAAATCGTAAATTCGCGCGCAAAAATTTCACCGGCGCGCCTTCCATTAATGATGCATTAGACGCATACATTATAAGCATCGAGTGTGTTTAACGGACGGTCACTTGCGCCGCGCGCGAAATATGAATAGCATAGCGATCAATCATGTGTCAACACTTACAATTTAATATTATATTGTGTTGTAAGATTTTTTTGTATTATGAGCCAATTTATGTTTTAAATTGATGAGTAATAATAGTTTTTGTTATTTGTTATTGACAAATACGCGTTCAATTCAATGTTTTGTGTTGATAAATATTTGCTCTATCCAGAGCCCTTGCGCTTGCAGTAACGCGCGCCCGCAGTGGCGCGAAAGCACATGGTTAGGTGAAATAAATATGGTAGTAATATGTAAGATGATTTTAAATATATGACACAAGTATCATTCTTACATTACATTAGAATTATATAAATATATAATTCTAGTTTTGCATAAAAAGGAAGTAACAAATGTTTTTTCTGCAATCATATTTAAGTTACAAATCACTAAACTGTAAACTGAAAACACAAAGCCACGCGCCGATTTGTACGGCATTTTGTCATTATAAAAAAAAACACCTTTTAAATACCATAAATTATACCCAGTTCATTTTTCTTATAATTAGTATTGAACAATATATATCTTTTGTGAAATAAT